TAAGAAATGTTAATTATGGTGAAAAAGACCTTGTTTAAGTTTAATGTTTATAGAAATAGTTTTTGTTCAAAAACTTTTATATTTAATTCAAAATATTAAAAGAAATTCCTAATTATTATAAAAATATCTTGTAAAACTTGTTATTCCTTTCATTATTTATATTTTATTTTTATATAAATATGTATAAATGTAAATATTTATTCAAATGTTTTCTGGTCTACAAAAATAATTAGTAGAGTTCATTATGCCGGTTACTGGCACAACCACGTGTTTTATTTTAATTTTTTTATTTAAAACAAACACATTTTTTAACTTTTAAAACTGAACAAAAAAATCTCCCCTTTTTACCTCTAGAAACAAATCTCTGACCGCATCTACTTAAAAACATTGTTGTAGCACATTTTTGTTATTATTTATTATAATTTTTTATTTTTTTATTGAATTTTGTTTGCTTTACACAGCCAAAATCAAGCTAAAAAAGTATCCAAACCGAACTGATAATGAACTCTAATGTATACGTCATATTTTGAGAATAATGTAACCAACTAAATTTCATAGATAACCAAATCTCACACAATAAACCGGATAATAGAATGAATTATAAACCAGTTTAAAAACAAGCTTAAATTATTGGTTTAAAGAACAATCTATATACTAGTTCTAGTTCCGTCTAGTCTAGTCTGTAGTCTAGTCTATAGTCTAGTCTAGTCTAGTCTATAGTCTAGTCTAGTCTAGTCTATAGTCTAGTCTATAGTCTAGTCTATAGTCTAGTCTATAGTCTAGTCTATAGTCTAGTCTATAGTCTAGTCTATAGTCTAGTCTATAGTCTAGTCTATAGTCTAGTCTATAGTCTAGTCTATAGTCTAGTCTATAGTCTAGTCTATAGTCTAGTCTATAGTCTAGTCTATAGTCTAGTCTATAGTCGAGTCTATAGTCTAGTCTATAGTCGAGTCTATAGTCGAGTCTATAGTCGAGTCTATAGTCTAGTCTATAGTCTAGTCTATAGTCTAGTCTATAGTCTAGTCTATAGTCTAGTCTATAGTCTAGTCTATAGTCTAGTCTATAGTCTAGTCTATAGTCTAGTCTATAGTCTAGTCTATAGTCTAGTCTATAGTCTAGTCTATAGTCTAGTCTATAGTCTAGTCTATAGTCTAGTCTATAGTCTAGTCTATAGTCTAGTCTATAGTCTAGTCTATAGTCTAGTCTATAGTCTAGTCTATAGTCTAGTCTATAGTCTAGTCTATAGTCTAGTCTATAGTCTAGTCTATAGTCTAGTCTAGAGTCTAGTCTATAGTCTAGTCTATAGTCTAGTCTATAGTCTAGTCTATAGTCTAGTCTATAGTCTAGTCTGTAGTCTAGTCTGTAGTCGAGTCTAGTCTATAGTCTAGTCTATAGTCTAGTCTATAGTCTAGTCTATAGTCTAGTCTGTAGTCTAGTCTATAGTCTAGTCTATAGTCTAGTCTATAGTCTAGTCTATAGTCTAGTCTATAGTCTAGTCTACAGTCTAGTCTATAGTCTAGTCTAAAGTCTAGTCTATAGTCTAGTCTATAGTCTAGTCTATAGTCTAGTCTATAGTCTAGTCTATAGTCTAGTCTATAGTCTAGTCTATAGTCTAGTCTATAGTCTAGTCTATAGTCTGGTCTATAGTCTAGTCTATAGTCTGGTCTATAGTCTAGTCTATAGTCTAGTCTATAGTCTAGTCTATAGTCTAGTCTATAGTCTAGTCTATAGTCTAGTCTATAGTCTAGTCTATAGTCTAGTCTATAGTCTAGTCTATAGTCTATAGTCTTAGTTCTAGTTCAGTTCAGGTTCAGTTCTAGTTCAGTTCTAGTTCAGTTCTAGTTCAGTTCTAGTTCAGTTCTAGTTCAGTTCTAGTTCAGTTCTAGTTCAGTTCTAGTTCAGTTCTAGTTCAGTTCTAGTTCAGTTCTAGTTCAGTTCTAGTTCAGTTCTAGTTCAGTTCTAGTTCAGTTCTAGTTCAGTTCTAGTTCAGTTCTAGTTCAGTTCTAGTTCAGTTCTAGTTCAGTTCTAGTTCAGTTCTAGTTCAGTTCTAGTTCAGTTGTAGTTCATTTCTAGTTCAGTTCTATGTCAATTTTATAGCTGGTCACCTTTTTTCTTTTAATTCACACACATTTTTCTTCTATTTGCCCCAAAAAAAATTAACAAAGAAAAAACCATTAACTACCACAACAACTACAGCAAAAACAGAAAAAAAGCAATGCCATCTAAATATAAATTACAAAATAGAAACAAAAACTTGTTGGATGACCACGTGCTTTTTATTTTGTTTCTGGTTAAAACAGAAAAAAAAAAATCCCAAAAAATATACATACAACCACCATTTGCCACCACCACCTTCTTTCTATTCCAATAAGCACGTTTTTTTCCGATTTTTCTTTTTACTCTCTTTTATAAACAAACAAAACATACTCATACAAAACTATTTACATCTCGAACCAAAAAAAATCTACTCATTATAGCGGAAATAGTAGAAATTTTTTCTTACAACTGAGAGGGAGAGTTTTTTTTTGCATATTTTGGGGCAATTTCTAAACACTCTATATGATCTTAGGAAATGGGTGGAAAGGGGGTTTCAAATACAAGTAATATTAGTTTCTTATTTAGAATGTCTTACAACATAGATAAAAATATGTGTTTTATTTATTGCTACATATAAAAAAATTGTGTATAACTTATGTATTTATGAGGGCTTTTAAAAGTTTATCTTTTTTAAATTAATTGGCTGTGTAAAATACTACAATGTCAAGGTTATTGGGTAAAGACTCTAGGTTGTTGACTTTATTTTAAAAATTATTTTTTGTAGTAATATTGTGGGGTGATTCATACAATGATTAGCTCTATTCAACGATGATAAATCGGTCTATATATTGGCGTTTAGTCCGGACTGTAGACTAGTCTACATAACAGACTATAGGCTAGATTTTAGTCCAGAGTAAAAGCCAGAAATGAACTACAACAGAACTAGAACGACTAGAACTGAACCTAGAACTGAACTAGAACTGAACTAGAACTGAACTAGAACTGAACTAGAACTGAACTAGACTGAACTAGAACTGAACTAGAACTGAACTAGAACTGAACTAGAACTGAACTAGAACTGAACTAGAACTGAACTATAACTGAACTAGAACTGAACTAGAACTGAACTAGAACTGAACTAGAACTAACTGAACTAGAACTGAACTGAACTAGAACTGAACTAGAACTAGACTAGAACTGAACTAGAACTGAACTAGAACTGAACTAGAACTGAACTAGAACTGAACTAGAACTGAACTAGAACTGAACTAGAACTGAACTAGAACTGAACTAGAACTGAACTAGAACTGAACTAGAACTGAACTAGAACTGAACTAGAACTGAACTAGAACTGAACTAGAACTGAACTAGAACTGAATCTAGAACTGAACTAGAACTGAACTAGAACTGAACTAGAACTGACTAGAACTAACTAGACTGAACTAGAACTGAACTAGAACTGAACTAGAACTGAGCTAGAACTGAACTAGAACTGAACTAGAACTAAACTAGAACTGAACTAGAACTGAACTAGAACTGAACTAGAACTGAACTAGAACTGAACTAGTACTGACTAGAACTAGAACTAGAACTAGAACTGAACTAGAACTGAACTAGAACTGACTAGAACTGAACTAGAACTGAACTAGAACTGAACTGAACTGAACTAGAACTGAACTAGAACGAAACTGAAACTAGAACTGAACTAGAATTGAAACTAGAACTGAACTAGAACTGAACTAGACTGAACTAGAACTGAACTAGAACTGAACTAGAACTGAACTAGACTGAACTAGAACTAGAACTAGAACTAGAACTAGAACTGATAGAACTGGACTAGAACTGAACTAGAACTGAACTAGAACTAACTAGAACTGAACTAGAACTGAACTAGAACTGAACTAGAACTGAACTAGAACTGAACTAGATACTGAACTAGAACTGAACTAGAACCTGAACTAGAACTGAACTAGAACTGAACTAGAACTGAACTAGAACTGAACTAGAACTGAACTAGAACTGAACTAGAACATGACTAGAACTGAACTAGAACTGAACTAGAACTGAACTAGAACTGAAACTAGAAACTGAACTAGAACTGAACTAGAACTGGAACTAGAACTGAAACTAGAACTGAACTAGAACTGAACTAGAACTAGACTGAACTAGAACTGAACTAGAACTGAACTAGAACTGAACTAAAAAACTGAACTAGAACTGAACTAGAACTGAACTAGAACTGAACTAGAACTGAACTAGAACTGAACTAGAACTGAACTACTGAACTAGAACTGAACTAGAACTGAACTAGAACTGAACTAGAACTGAACTAGAACTGAACTAGAACTGAACTAGAACTGAACTAGAACTGAACTAGAACTGAACTAGAATTGAACTAGAACTGAACTAGAACTGAACTAGAACTGAACTAGAGAACTGAACTAGAATGAACTAGAACTGAACTAGAACTGAACTAGAACTGAACTAGAACTGAACTAGAACTGAACTAGAACTGAACTAGAACTGAACTAGAACTGAACTAAACTGAACTAGAACTGAACTAGAACTGAACTAGAACTGAACTAGATGAACTAGAACTGAACTAGAACTGAACTAGAACTGAACTAGAACTGAACTAGAACTGAACTAGAACTGAACTTGAACTGAACTAGAACTGAACTTGAACTGAACTAGAACTGAACTAGAACTAGTACATATTCTAGCCAATAGAACTAGTACATATTCTAGCCAATAGTCTAGTCTATAGTCTAGTCTATAGTCTAGTCTATAGTCTAGTCTAAAGTCTAGTCTATAGTATATTCTATAGTCTATTCTACAGTCTATACTATACTCTATTCTATAGTCTATGGTATGGTCTTTAGTACAGTCTATAGTCTAGTGTAATATGTAATTTTTCAAAAAAAGATTAATTTTTTTCTGATTAATTTATTTTTTTTTTCCAGGAGGAGGACGTGATTTACAAACAGCCGTTACATACGCTAAAAATAGCACCATACAAAAACAGGCGCACAGCAATAGCAATTCATTACTAATCACAAATCAGCCAGGAGCCGTTGCAGCAGCCAAAACAAATAACAATATGCCGAAAAAGACAGCAACCTCATCCTCTGGTAAGTTTAGCAAATGAACTATTATTCCAAGCTAAAAAGAAAAACTAACTAAATCTTTATCTACTAACTTTCATACTGCTTACTAACTATAATTTATAACTTTAAAATGCTGCTTAAAATAGCAGCAGCTGCAGCATTTCCCAGTAGTTCAAAAGCTGCTGCCACTAATGTCAACAAAGTAGGACCATCTGCAACTAGTACTTATGCCCAAATGGCTATGACACCCTTTAATACAACACAACTAATGGGCATGGCAGCTTTAGCTGCCGCTACTGGACTAGCACCCAGTTTTAGTAATGCTAGTGGCAGTAGTGTAACTAATGCTAATATAGCTACAGCTACTTCTACTGCTACTACTGCTAACGTCAATTCATTGCTAAATGATGGTGTTGGGATAGGTGGTGTTGTAGCTAATCTAGACATTGGTTCAAGCTCTCAAGCTTTAAGCAAAAAACCAGCAACTGCAGCCTCAACAGCAAAAAGTGCACAACATACGGCAGCCTCGTATTATCAAGCTTGTGCTAATTTTAATATGGCAGCGTCTGTATTGGCGCAGAGTAAGTCGAGTAATGTTGGTAACAACCAAAATTTTTGTTCTCTCTATAGTGTGTTAAAGAAAAATAATGTGTTTTTTTCCTGAACAACCAAATAAGTATAATTTTTTTGTTTAAAATTTATAAAAGTTTTTAAGTTTTTATGTAATTTCTAAAGAAATATAACAAAATTATAACACTTTTACCTAAATATCAATGAACAAACCTAATTAATTTACTAAAAATATTCAAAAGTTTCTTGGCATTTGTTCAGTTATTAACAGAATCCAACCAACACATTGTTGTGTTTGAAATTTCACATACCTTTCGAAAATGTCAATTTTAATTTGAACTAAAATGAAAAACTATTACAACATAAACCAAAAATTTTAATTATTTTTATAATTTTCACTTCCTTAAACTATTTTAAATTTAAATTATGAAACCAATTCATTACAAAAATTATAAATTGGCAAATAATTTTGTTCTTTACATTTTATACTTTAACTTAATATTCAAACAACCAGACCAACCCCCCCCCCCCTACACCACCAACATTTACTCTTTACTCTACCCAATTAAAACTCTTTTAACATTTTAACTCTATTGCTCATCTTAAGCCTTTATTGTTTAATTTATTACTTTTTATTTATTTACTTTTCTAGTTTATAAGTTAATTTATTTTGAAATACACTATTTATCTGTTTACTATTTTGTGTTCTTTTCTTTTTTTCTGTTTTTGTTTTCTTTTTCGTAAATTTTGTTTCTTAAGTGAGCATGGGCATGGGCTATGATTCCCAACCGTCTTCCACAAATTCTGCCAATAGCGGTTTATCTACACAGTCGAAAATCAATGCCATGGTTTTGCAAAAGATTCAGGCTTTAGTTGCCGCCAATCCACAGTTTTTAACCAGTGGCATACCGAATCAATTATTGTCACAACTGTTAATGCAGCCGATGAAGGTGAGTTGGAGGATTTTTTTTAATTATTCCGAAATTTTAAAGAAACTGGGGACTATAGTCTTGTCTATAGACTAGGGATTATAGTCTATAAGTCTGGTCCAGGGTAAAGTTTAGAACTGAACTGGAACTGAACTAGAACTGAACTAGAACTGAACTAGAACTGAACTAGAAACTGAACTAGAACTGAACTAGAACTGAACTAGAACTGAACTAGAACTGAACTAGAACTGAACTAGAACTGAACTAGAACTGAACTAGAACTGAACTAGAACTGAACTAGAACTGAACTAGAACTGAACTAGAACTGAACTAGAACTGAACTAGAACTGAACTAGAACTGAAGTAGAACTGAAGTAGAACTGAACTAGAACTGAACTAGAACGAACTAGAACTGAACTAGAACTGAACTAGAACTGAACTAGAACTGAACTAGAAACTGACTAGAACTGAACTAGAACTGAACTAGAACTGAACTAGAACTGAACTAGAACTGAACTACAAACTGAACTAGAACTGAACTAGAACTGAACTAGAACTGAACTAGCACTGAACTAGAACTGAACTAGAACTGAACTAGAACTGAACTAGAACTGAACTAGAACTGAACTAGAACTGAACTAGAACTGAACTAGAACTGAACTAGAACTGACTAGAACTGAACTAGAACTGAACTAGAACTGAACTAGAACTCTGAACCTAGAACTGAAGAACTAGACACTGAACTAGAACTGAACTAGAACTGAACTAGAAACTGAACTAGAACTGAACTAGAACTGAACTAGAACTGAACTAGAACTGAACTAATGAACTGAACTAGAACTAACTAGACTGGAACTAGAACTGAACTAGAACTGAACTAGAACTGAAACTAGAACTGAACTAGAACTGAACTAGGAACTGAACTAGAACTGAACTAGAACTGAACGATAACTGAACTAGAACTGAACTAGAAATGAACTGAAACTGAACGAGAACTGAACTAGAAATGACTAGAACTGAACTAGAACTGAACTAGAACTGAACTAGAAATGAACTAGAACTGAACTAGAACTGAACTAGAACTGAACTAGAAACTGAACTACAGAACTGACTAGAAACTGAACTAGAACTGAAGCAGAACTGAAACTAGAACTGAACGAAATATGAACAGAACGAACTAAGAACTGAACTAAACTTAACTAGAACTGAACTAGAACTGAACTGAACTGAACTAGAAACTGAACTAGAACTGAACTGTAACTAGAACTGAACTAGAACATGAACTAGAACTGAACTAGAACTGAACTAGAACTGAACTAGAACTGAACTAGAACTGAACTAGAACTGAACTAGAACTGAACTGAACTAGAACTGAACTAGAACTGAACTAGAACTGAACTAGAACTGAACTAGAACTGAACTAGAACTGAACTAGAACTGAACTAGAACTGAACTAGAACTGAACTAGAACTGAACTAGAACTGAACTAGAACTGAACTAGAACTGAATTAGAACTGAACTAGAACTAGAACTGAACTAGAACTGAACTAGAACTGAACTAGAACTGAACTAGAACTGAACTAGAACTGAACTAGAACTGAACTAGAACTGAACTAGAACTGAACTAGAACTGAACTAGAACTGAACTAGAACTGAACTAGAACTGAACTAGAACTGAACTAGAACTGAACTAGAACTGAACTAGAACTGAACTAGAGCTGAACTAGAACTGAACTAGAACTGAACTAGAACTGAACTAGAACTGAACTAGAACTGAACTAGAACTGAACTAGAACTGAACTAGAACTGAACTAAACTGAACTAGAACTGAACTAGAACTGAACTAGAACTGAACTAGAACTGAACTAGAACTGAACTAGAACTGAACTAGAACTGAACTAGAACTGAACTAGAACTGAACTAGAACTGAACTAGAACTGAAAGAACTGAACTAGAACTGAACTAGAACTGAACTAGAACTGAACTAAACTGAACTAGAACTGAACTAGAACTGAACTAGAACTGAACTAGAACTGAACTAGAACTGAACTAGAACTGAACTAGAACTGAACAAAGAACTAGAACTGAACTAGAACTGAACTAGAACTGAACTAGAACTGAACTAGAACTGAACTAGAACTGAACTAGAACTGAACTAGAACTGAACTAGAACTGAACTAGAACTGAACTAGAACTGAACTAGAACTGAACTAGAACTGAACTAGAACTGAACTAGAACTGAACTAGAACTGAACTAGAACTGAACTAGAACTGAACTAGAACTGAACTAGAACTGAACTAGAACTGAACTAGAACTGAACTAGAACTGAACTAGAACTGAACTAGAACTGAACTAGAACTGAACTAGAACTGAACTAGAACTGAACTAGAACTGAACTAGAACTGAACTGGAACTGAACTAGGACTGAACTAGAACTGAATTAGAACTGAACTAGAACTGAACTAGAACTGAACTAGAACTGAACTAGAACTGAACTAGAACTGAACTAGAACTGAACAAGAACTGAACTAGAACTGTACTAGAATTGAACTAGAACTGAACTAGAACTGAACTAGAACTGAACTAGAACTGAACTAGAACTGAACTAGAACTGAACTAGAACTGAACTAGAACTGAACTAGAACTGAACTAGAACTGAACTAGAACTGAACTAGAACTGAACTAGAACTGAACTAGAACTGAACTAGAACTGAACTAGAACTGAACTAGATCTGAACTAGATCTGAACTAGAACTGAACTAGAACTGAACTGAACTAGAACTGAACTAGAACTGAACTAGAACTGAACTAGAACTGAACTAGAACTGAACTAGAACTGAACTAGAACTGAACTAGAACTGAACTAGAACTGAACTAGAACTGAACTAGAACTGAACTAGAACTGAACTAGAACTGAACTAGAACTGAACTAGAACTGAACTAGAACTGAACTAGAACTGAACTAGAACTGAACTAGAACTAGAACTGAACTTGAACTGAACTTGAACTGAACTAGAACTGAACTAGAACTGAACTGGAACTGAACTAGAACTGAACTAGAACTGAACTAGAACTGAACTAGAACTGAACTAGAACTGAACTAGAACTGAACTAGAACTGAACTAGAACTGAACTAGAACTGAACTAGAACTGAACTAGAACTGAACTAGAACTGAACTAGAACTGAACTAGAACTGAACTAGAACTGAACTAGAACTGAACTAGAACTGAACTAGAACTGAACTAGAACTGAACTAGAACTGAACTAGTACTGAACTAGAACTGAACAGAACTGAACTAGAACTGAACTAGAACTGAACTAGAACTGAACTAGAACTGAACTAGAACTGAACTAGAACTGAACTAGAACTGAACTAGAACTGAACTAGAACTGAACTAGAACTGAACTAGAACTGAACTAGAACTGAACTAGAACTGAACTAGAACTGAACTAGAACTGAACTAGAACTGAACTAGAACTGAACTAGAACTGAACTAGAACTGAACTAGAACTGAACTAGAACTGAACTAGAACTGAACTAGAACTGAACTAGAACTGAACTGAAATATAACCGAAATAGAACTGAACTGGAACTGAACTAGAACTGAACTAGAACTGAACTGAATGAACTGAACTAGAACTGAACTAGAACTGAACTAGAACTGAACTAGAACTGAACTAGAACTAGAACTGAACTAGAACTGAACTAGAACTGAACTAGAACTGAACTAGAAACTGAACTAGAACTGAACTAGAACTGAACTAGAACTGAACTACAACTGAACTAGAACTAGAACTAAACTAGAACTGAAATAGAACTGAACTAGAACTGAACTAGAACTGAACTAGAGCTGAACTAGAACTGAACTAGAACTGAACTAGAACTGAACTAGAACTGAACTAGAACTGAACTAGAACTGAACTAGAACTGAACTAGAACTGAACTAGAACTGAACTAGAACTGAACTAGAACTGAACTAGAACTGAACTAGAAATGAACTAGAAATGAACTAGAACTGAACTAGAACTGAACTAGAATTGAACTAGAACTGAACTAGAACTAAACTAGAACTGAACTGGAACTAACCTAGAACAGAACATTAGTTTATATCAATAATATAAAGTTTTTATATTTTCTGACCTTTTTCTAGGTTACCACACCCATTATGCAACCCGAAGAAGATGAGGCCGATTATGAGGAAATGGGTGTAGCCGAAACTTATGCCGAATATTGGCCAGCCAAATGTAAGCTTCATCTTTAAGCATCCTTAAATGAAAAGAAAATACAATTTTTAATTGTTCCCATTTACAGTAAAATTGGGTAAAAAACATCCTGATCCTGTAGTCGAGACAGCTTCTCTATCATCCGTAGAACCCTGTGATGTTTACTATAGATTGTCCATACCTCTCGAAACAATACAAAGTGGTCAATTGAGTGCTTTACAATTGGAATCGATAACATATGCCTCACAGGCTCATGATCACCTGCTGCCCGATGGTAGTCGTGCTGGTTTTCTTATAGGTGATGGTGCTGGTGTGGGCAAAGGGCGAACTATAGCCGGCATTATCTATGAGAATTATATGAAGGGTAGAAAGAAAGCTTTATGGATATCGGTATCGAATGATTTGAAATATGATGCCGAAAGAGATTTGGGTGATATAGGGGCAGGACGGATAGAGGTGCATGCTTTGAATAAGGTAGGTTTTCGGATTTTTTTTCAATAAAAATTTGATTTAGAAATTTATGTTTTCTTATATTTTTTTTTTTTAGTTTAAATATGCCAAAATCAATTCGGATGTTAATAACAATTGTAAAAAAGGTGTTATATTTAGCACTTACTCGGCTTTAATTGGAGAATCGAATAATAAGACTGGTAAATACAAATCAAGACTTAAACAGCTGCTGCAGTGGTGTGGCGAAGACTTTGATGGTCTCATAGTGTTTGATGAATGTCACAAGGCTAAAAACTTGTGTCCCGTGGGCTCGGGCAAAGCCACCAAAACTGGTCTCACAGTTTTAGAATTACAAAATAAATTACCCAAAGCTAGAGTGGTTTATGCTTCAGCTACAGGTGCTTCGGAACCTAAAAATATGGCCTATATGGTGCGTTTGGGTTTATGGGGTCAGGGTACAGCATTTCCTACATTTAATGATTTCATAATGGCGGTAGAGAAGAGGTGGGTGAAACAAACATACAATTTTTAATTCAAAATCGAATAATCAAAAATTTTTGCAGAGGTGTGGGCGCTATGGAAATAGTGGCTATGGATATGAAATTGAGAGGCATGTATATTGCTAGACAGCTAAGTTTCCATGGTGTTACTTTCAAAATCGAAGAGGTTAATTTGTCTAAAGAGTTTCGCAAGATTTACGATGAATCTGTCGATTTGGTAAGTGTTTTTTTTTTGTTGAGTTGAGAGTGGACCATTGTTTATTGCTCTTGTCTGCTTTAGTGGGTCGAAGCTATGCAAAAATTTACCGAGGCTGCTGAGTTAATCGATGCTGAAAGTCGCATGAAAAAGACCATGTGGGGTCAATTCTGGTCTTCCCATCAAAGATTTTTCAAATATCTTTGTATAGCGGCCAAAGTTAATCATGTTGTACAAATAGCTCGCGAAGCTATTAAATATGGCAAATGTGTGGTTATAGGTTTACAGTCGACGGGTGAGGCTCGCACTCTGGAACAATTGGAAAGAGAGGATGGTGAATTGACAGATTTTGTTTCAACAGCCAAGTGAGTCTTAAAAAATTAATAAATTTTACTTTAAGTTTTGTCTTTGAAAAAGTCTTGACTATAGACAGACTAAAATCTTGAAGTCTGTACTATAGAGGGACTGTAGTCTGTAGTCTGTCTGGACAACAAGCAGACTGTAGTCTGGACTATAGAAGAACTATTGTCTTGACTATTGGCAGACTGAAAATACACTGTATTCTGGACTTTAAAAAGACTATATTCAACATTATAGGCAGACAATAGTCGGAACTATATACTGGATTGTAGACATGCTATAGTCTGGGCTATAGAATGTGAATAATGAAGTCTATTGGCAGAATATAGCCTCGCCTGCAGAATGACTTTAGACTAGACAAAGGATATACAATAGCCTGGACTGTGGACTTTAGTCGGAACTACATATAGCCTGACTACACTATAGTGTATCTTTGGACAAGTTTATAGTCAATAATATAGTCTATCTATAGCTCAGACATTATTCCATCCATTACTTACTTACTTATTCATTCTTTCAGAGGCGTTTTCCAATCTCTGGTGGAGAAGCATTTTCCTGCACCCGATCGCAATCGTATCAATCGCATATTGGGTCTTACTGCTCCCTCGGAAGATAAAAAATCTATACAGTCCATTATTGCTGAGGTTACAGCCAAAAATAAAATTAAAGAAGAACCTCCCTCCTCCTCCGCCAATAAACGTAAATCCTCACGTCAGGATTTGCATGCCAATAAAAAATCACGCAACAATTCCTGGAATGATTCCGATGATGATAACGACTCACAAAATGAATCGGGCAAAGAGTCAGACTACAAACTCTCCAATTCAGAATCAGAGGAATCCGATACAGGTAATCATAGCGACAGCTATGAATCCTCCGATTTTAATCCCTTCTGCAGTGGTTCAGATTCTGATAATGACCCATGGTTGGCTCGGGCCAAAAAGAAGAAATTAAAAAAGAAGGTTAAAACAAAGGAAACCAATGCCTCCACCAACAACAACAACACAAATAATAACATCTCCACCACCTCTAACAATAACAACATAGTTTCCTCTACAGCTTTAGCTGTTACAGTGTCACCGCCCAAAAAGAAACCTCCACAATCGACGCAAGATAAAATCCAAGATTTATTGCAAAAGAAACAAGAACTCAAGGGCACAGTGACCCAAGTGGGAGTTCATGGCGTGCGCTTAAACTATGGTCCACCACCCAAAGATGCTATTGAGCGAGCTTGTTCCATGAAAGAGGAATTATTGCGTAAAATAGAAGTGTTAGGTGATCGTTTGCCACCCAATACCTTAGATCAATTGATTGATGAGTTGGGAGGTCCAGACAATGTGGCCGAAATGACCGGTCGCAAGGGTAGAGTGGTACAATCGGATGATGGCTCCATACAGTATGAGTCACGTTCTGAACAAGATGTTCCTTTAGAAACTTTAAATATAACAGAGAAACAAAGATTCATGGATGGCCACAAGGATGTAGCCATTATATCCGAGGCCGCCTCCAGTGGTATTTCATTGCAAAGTGATCGTAGAGTGCGCAATCAAAGGCGACGTGTCCATATTACACTCGAATTGCCCTGGTCAGCTGATCGTGCCATCCAACAGTTTGGTCGTACACATCGTTCCAATCAGGTCAATGCTCCCGAGTATATTTTCTTAATTTCCGATCTGGCGGGAGAACGACGTTTCGCCTCCACCGTAGCCAAACGTTTAGAGTCTTTGGGCGCTCTCACACATGGTGATCGTAGGGCTACCGAGACCCGTGATTTGTCTCAATTCAATATAGACAACAAATATGGCCGCACGGCTTTAGAAACTGTGATGAAAACTATAATGGGCTATGAACAGCCTTTAGTACCACCACCCAACGATTATCGTGGTGATTTCTTTAAGGATATTGCTGGCGCCTTAGTGGGTGTGGGTCTTATTGTGAATAGTGAATCTAGTCCGGGCATCTTAAGTTTGGACAAGGATTATAATAATATTTCAAAGTTTTTGAATAGAATATTGGGTATGCCGGTTGAGTTGCAAAATCGTTTATTTAAATATTTCACCGATACCCTGACGGCTATTATACATCAGGCCAAGAAGGGAGGACGTTTTGATTTGGGTATTTTGGGTGAGTTATAGGAAGGGAAGGGGGAGAAAGCGATAGATTTATTAAATTCTTTTGTTTTTTGTAGATTTGGGTGCGGCAGGCGAGAATGTTACCCGCGTGAAATTGGTGCGTTTCTTGCGTAAACATGCTACCGGCAAAGCGCCCACTGAGCTGCATACCGTGCGTGTGGAAAGAGGCATGATTTGGCAGGAGGCTATGGACAAGTAAGTTCAAATTTTCTTAATGCACAACAAAGTTTTCTACTTTTCTTTCTACCCTCTACCCCCAGATACGCCGATTTGATTAGCAGCAATGAAGGTTTCTATTTGTCGCATCAGGTACGCAACAACAAACGTACCGCCATCTTAGCCGTTGAAATTGAAGCCCCCACTGTAACCAACAGCCAGCAGCCGAATAATAAAAAGAAAGAAAAACCCAGTAAAAAAGATATTATGTTTCAAATCTATCGACCCAATACGGGTCTGCAAGTACGACACGAATCTTTGGCGGAGATAGAAAAGAAATACAAAAAGGTGGGCATGACAGAGGCCGAAGTACACTGGACGCAACAGTATGATGCATCCGTTAATACTTGTTCACATGCCTATTGGAATGGTAATTGTCGTAATGTTAATATGGGACAGGAATGTGAGGTAAGTGTGCCGGAGGTAGAGTAGAGGGTAAAGAAATAAACAATAGGATGTAATGTTTCTTTTTTTTTTGTTTTTGTTTTGTTTCTATAGGTGGGTTTACGTCAACGTTTGTATTATGTTTTGGCCGGCTCTGTACTGTCGGTGTGGTCGCGTGTAGAACAAATTTTGTCCACACGTAATGCCAACAATAAAATGCAAGTTATACGCATGAAAACTACGGAGGGCGAGAAAATCGTGGGTACTTTAATACCCAAATCATGCCATGAATTGCTTATGCAAGATCTTAAGTCTGATGCTGAAAAAGTCGAAGAAGTTAACTTTTAAAAAACAGCAAGAAGAAAGAGAAGAAATTTACTTTTTTTTTTTTAAAAAGTAATAAAAACAACAATTTTGTCTTAATATTTAAAAGGAAAACACACTATAATATTTAAGTTTAAATATTACTTTAAAAAAGAAAACCAAAACGACGCTTAATTTATGGACTTTTTTCTATAGAATGTTTCTTAAGTTTTTTTTTCTGTTTTTATGGAAACTTCTATAATTTAAACTAAAAAAAAAACTATAAATAAATTATAATTATTATATAATTATAATATTAATTATATTATCTTATAAAACTATAACAAAAAACACTATAATTATAAAATAACATTTACAATTATAAAATCCCCTTACAAATTATCATTATTTTTAGTAATTAAATAACACTAAACTTTAATTAATAAAATAAACAACAAAAACAAATGAACATTAAACAAAAAAATAAAAACAAAATTTAGTAAAGCTAACTATATACTATCTATACATTAAATATATATTAAATATATTAATAAATTTAGTTATGAAAGAAATGAAAATAAAATACTTTAATTTAAAAATTATTATTTTTTTTTTAAGAAAAATTAATTAAATATTATTTTTAAAAAACTTTTTTTTTTTTAATACGGGGCCGCCTGTTCGAAATTCTAAACAATAAATTTCTTTCTATTTTCTTTAAAATTTGTTTAAAATTAAAAAAAAAAAACAAAAATTTCATTCACAATGAACAAACTTTTTTCTCTCGTAAAGAAAAATTTTATTCAAAATTCTTTCTATAACAAAATCTCAATAAAAATTTCCAGCCTAATTCTTTCTAAAAACAAAAATTTTATTCAAAATTCATTCACAATGAAAAATCTTTTACAAAATTATCTCTTGAAGAAAAATTTTATACAAAATTCTTTTTAAAAGATGTATTTTCAATAAAAATTCTTTCTTAAAGAAAAATTTCATTCAAAATTCTTTCTAAAATTCATTCACAATGAACAAACTTTTTCGAAATTCTCTCGTAAAGAAAAATTTTATTCAAAATTCTTTCTCAAAAATAAATTTTCAATAAAAAATTCTTTCTTTAAGAAAAGTTTGATTCTAAATACTTTCTAAAAGAAAAATTTTATTCTAAATTCTTAAACAAAATTCAAAACTCTTTCTAACTCTTTTCAAACGAACAATTTCATTCAAAATACTTTCTAAAATTCATTCACAATGAACAAACTTTTTCAAAATTCTCTCGTAAAGAAAAATTTTATTCAAAATTCTTTCACAACAATAAATTTTCAATAAAAATTCTTTCTTTAAGAAAAGTTTGATTCTAAATACTTTCTAAAAGAAAAATTTTATTCTAAATTCTTTCTTAAACAAAATTTTCATTCAAAACTCTTTCTAAAAGATGTATTTTCAATAAAAATTTCATTAAAAATTCTTAAAGAAAAATTTCATTCAAAATTCTTTCTAAAATTCATTCACAATGAACAAACTTTTTCAAAATTCTCTCGTAAAGAAAAATTTTATTCAAAATTCTTTCTGAACAATAAATTTTCAATAAAAAATTCTTTCTTTAAGAAAAGTTTGATTCTAAATTCTTTCTAAAAGATATATTTTCAATAAAAATTCCTTCTTGAAGAAAAATTTAATTAAAAATTCTTTCTAAACGAAAAATGTCATTCAAGTCTTTCTAAAATTCATTCACAATAAACACATTTTCTCTAAATTCTCTCGTAAAGAAAAATTTGATTCTAAATACTTTCTAAAAGAAAAATTCCATTCAAAATTCTTTCTAAAAGAAAAATTTCATTTAAAAATCATTCACAAATCTTCAATTTTTTTCCAAAATTCTCTTGTAAAGAAAAATTTAATTCAAGTTTGCCCCTAAAAGAAAAAAATAATCAGTATGCTTTCTAGATAAAAAAAATTATTTGAAATTTCTTCTAAATAAAAAAATTTTACTTTCTGAATAAAAGATTCCATTTAAAATTTTTCCTAAATGTGACAAATTCATTCAAAATTCTTTCTATATGAAAAAATTCAATCAAATTTCTATATCAAAGAATAACTTCATCGAAAATTCGTTCTGAAAGAAACAGTTTTATTAAAAATTGTTTATAAATAGAAGAATTCATTCGAAATTCTTTCTAAGAGAAAAATTTCATTCAAAACTCTTTCTAATTAAAAAACTCCCATCAAAATTCTTTCTGAAAGCAAATGTTCATTCAAAATTCTTTCTGAAAGGAAATGTTTACACAAAAATATTCTAAAAAATATTTTTACTAAAAGCCTTTTTTAAAAAAGTTTTATTTCAATTTGTTTTTTAATAAAACTCAAACTTTAATTCAAAATTGTTTCTGGGAGATTAATTCTATTCAAAAAACTTTCCGAATAACAAAATTTTATACAAAATACGTTTGAAAAGAAAATTTTCTATAAATATCCTTTCAGAAACGAAAATTTTATGTTTTTGACTATTGTGAATGACTTTACTGTGATTGTTTAAACAAATACAGTTGTTTTTAAAGTTTAGACATGAATTTTTATAAAATATGAACGATTTTTTAAACAGAAATCTTAATTTAAAAAAATGTATTAATTATTTTGAATTCAAACTGATAAAAAATTAAATATTTTAATACAAAAAATATATAAAAAGTTTAACGAACAGATCCTTTAATTAGTTGAAAACTTTATATTATTTTTAGAACTGAATTATTTTAATAATTTTATTATTTGTCTTAAATTATTTAAAATGGAAACAATTTTTAACTATTTTTTTTAATTTATTATTTTTTAAAGAAATCAACATTTCTTTATACTTTTAAGGCATTAGTTTGTAGTTGAAGGTTTAGTATACATATTAGAGAGAACACAAATAAATAAATAAAAAATAATAATTTTATGTTTTGCTGTATATTATTAATTAATAAAAAAATAAAATAACATTCAAAAATACTTTGTGAAATAAAGTTGAAAATTTTTTTATTAAAAAACTTTTTAATACAATAAAAATTCTAACAAAATACTAAATTTTGTACAATGAAACGTTAACAACAATAAAAATTAAGATTACAACTTAAAACCCGAATGTATGCTGACCACACCAAAGGTTAAATTTTCATAACGAACCATTTCGAAACCGGCCTCTTCGATCATACGCTTAAAATCCTCTTGTTTGGGGAATTTACGTATACTTTCTACCAAATACTGATAGGGCTGCCATTGGCCAGCTAATATTTGACCCATGGGTGGTATGACCTGGAAGGAATATTGATCATACAGCCATTGCATGGTATCATTTTCCAAATGGCTAAATTCCAAACACATAAAACGGCCGCCCGGCTGTAAGACACGATAAGCTTCACGTAACACCTGAAAATTAAGCAAAATTTGAAATAGAACAATTTGTGAATTTATAGGAGCCTAGCAAGTTCCACCTTATCTATATGTGTACAATTTCTTATACCAAAAGCTATGGTATAGGCATTGTAGGTATTATCGGCGAAAGGCAGCTCTTCGGCATTAGCACACTTCCAGTCTATTGTAATATTAGGCAATTTCTCTTGGGTAAGGCCCAAACGTTTGGCTCTTTCCTCACCCACATTCAACATATGCTGATTAATATCGGAGACAGTGACATGACTTTGTTTACCCTGGGGATTGGCTTGATTTTGTAAATATTTCAAATATCTAAAAGAAATATCACCAGTACCACCTGCCATATCCAATAAGCGGGTACCAGGTGTGGGTCCTAATCTTTCGATAAACATATCCTTCCATAAACGATGAATACCCATAGACATGGCATCGTTCATGAGGTCATACGATTTGGCCACATCTTCAAAGACTTTGTGCACTGAATTAAAAAAAAAATAGTAAACTATTAATGAAAATAATTAGTTTTTTGCTTTAAAACTTACCCTTTTGTTGTTTTTCTTCCTCTTTGACGGTCTGGAAACCAAAATGTGTGGTACCCTCCTGAGCACTTTCAGCCGCTGGATTGGCTGTATTACTAACAAATCTTAAATTGAAGGCATATCGTAAGTTTAAAGACCTAATATTATTAAATAACTTAAAATAATGTTTTGTTACATTCATTTTTATACAAAAATCTACTATGTATTATAGAAAATTATGAAATTTTATTAAAAAACGTTGTAAAACCACCCAGCTGAGCTATCAATCCACTAAACATGCTAATTATAGCCAACAGCTGTTTTTTTAGTGTTATCACTTGGCACTGCATTACAATTAGAATTTGTTTTCATTTGTTTGTCGATAATAGTGTTTAGTCTTATTAACCATTGTGATTGATTGCATTTTAGTGAGAAAAAAAAAGAAACATCTGCAATTTTTTGTTGATATCCACAAAATTAATTTTTTTTTGTATAAATTTTACAAATTAGTATTAAATTTAAGTTTAAGCATAATGTTTTAGTTGTTTAGTTAAAAAAAAAAAACAACAAAATGTCTAGTGATTTGTCGGCAAAGTGCCGAACTTGTCTAAGTTCTGCCCATCATTATCATCAATTGTTCGACTATGTGGAGGAGAATTACAAAATCCTAGAAATGTTAGATGGTATAGTGCCCCAAATAGATATTAAGACCACCTCACAATTTTCCACCTTAGTGTGTCAGACCTGTGTGGACAAATTATTGACGGGCTATAAATTTCAACAATTGTGCATTGAGACTAATAATCGTCTGCATGATTTGCTGGGCATTGCTGTTTTTGAGACGCAGCCAAAATTGGAGAAAATCCTGGATCCTTTGACGGGTGAGTCAAGTTTTAAGATGAAACAAGAGCTAGAGGAGGATGCTTGTTTTGAATGTGAAATACAACCGGATGAATTGGAGGGTAACATAGCATCGGATAATGATAATGATTGGGGGCCGGAAGGTGGAGATGATGGTGGTGGTGGTGGTAGTGATACAGATTCTAGGTAAGTGTTTAAAGCGAAAGAATACTGCAGTAATAGGCAGGTGAGTTTTTTAGTTGAATTAGATAAATTGGAGTTCAAATATCATTAAATTTCATCCATATGAGCCTTTCTTAACGTTTATTTTAATAAATCTATATATTTTTTCAACAGCAATGAAAAGCTCTCAGTTTTAAAGGAAAGATCTTCCAAAAAATCACCTTTAAAATTGGAACCTTTTGAAAAGTAAGTTATTTACAAAATATTCCTACTTTAAACAAAAACTCATCAAATTTCTACCTCCCAACAGACCTGGAAAACTAAATCGACTTAAAGGCAGTTTTCCCTGCTCAGAATGTGGTAAAGAGTTTAGCAGTGTAAATCGCCTAAAGCAACATAACGCCATACATGAGAAAAAACGTGGCTATTCATGTGAAATCTGCAATACTCGCTTTACGCTAGAGAAAACTTTAAAAGCTCATATGTTGACACACGCCAATGGTGATATAAAGGCAGCTGACAAAAATGACAGTATTGAAAATAAGGATAATAAAGAGATATCTGAAACCGAAGAGTTTTTAGAGGAAACAAAAACCACTGAAGTTGAAAAGCGGAATACTAATGCAGAAGAAAAGTATTTAGATACGAAGCATATGCTAACATTTAAATGTCCTGATTGTCCTAAAAGTTTTGAGAAGAAAGCCTCCTTCTCAGCGCATTATAAAGTGCATAAGAAAAAGGATTTTATTAAAAACAATAAATGTAAAAAGGTTGAGACTAGTTTAGAGGAAGCTGAAGAGGAATATCCTGTACAGGATTTAGAAGAGGGCACCAGCAATAATGTAGATAAAATAGCTAAGGTGGTGGTAAAGGAAGAAATCGAAATTACACCACAAATCTTTGAAGAACCCATGGATGATTTTGATGCTCAAGGTGAATGGTTTAATAATGATTATGAGGATTCAGAGTAAGTTAATTGCAAACTGTAGTATTTTTTTAGAATAATTTTTTATACTGCTCATAGTGACAATTCGGAAAAGGATCTTTTTGCTAAGCAGGAGCCAAAAGAAACTAAAAATATTGATTTTGTGGATACCGGCATAGGGGAAATAGAAAAGTAAGTTGTATATGCTATATACAAAGAACAACTTAAATGTAAATATTTTTACCACCTCTTTAAGGCCCAATAGCAGCAATAAAAGAAGCGGCAACTTTCCCTGTGAAATGTGCGGCAAAGTATTCGATCGTCCTTATCGTTTGAAACGTCACAGTTCTGTACATTCTCTGACCAGACCACATGAATGTGAAATTTGTAAATATCGTTTTGCCACCGTTAATATCCTAAAAGCTCATCTGTTTCAGCATGAAAATGAAACACAAGGAAATTTCAACTCCCAATCACGTCCAGAAGGCTTTAAGTGTCCCGATTGTCCTAGACGTTTTGAGAAACAAGCCTCTTTATCTGCTCATCGTCAAATACACACACGCAATGCCTCCGAAGCCAACTATCCCTGTATGGTTTGCCAGCGTAATTTTATGTCCGTTAGATCCTTAACCGAACATATCACTAACAAACATCCCGAGGTGGAAAAACACAAGTGTGATCAATGTGATAAAACTTTTGTTTTACATGCCCATCTGGTGGAACATTTAAATCGCCACAAAGGCAATAAGAATCTAGTGTGTCTGATATGTGAAAAGGAGTTTGGTTACACTAATACATTGAAAGAACACATGCGCACCCATAGCGGTGAGAGTCCTTATTTGTGTCCCCAATGTGGTAAAACATTCCGCAGTGCGAGTAATTTACGCCAACATATGGAAAGGCATACGGGTCTGAAGAAATACCAGTGTCCAGAGTGTCCCAGCCGTTTTAACTGTAGATCAGATTTGATAAAACATGCTTCGACACATTCAAATGCTAAGCCTCATGTCTGTGATATATGCGGATCACGTTTTACGAGAGCTTATTCCCTGCAGAAACATAAGCTGCTGCATTCGGGAGAGAGACCGTTTAAGTGTGATCAGTGCAGTATGACGTAAGTACCTATTATTACATAGATTAAGTAATCCAAATAGTTCGACTTGAGTTCAATTTTAATAAAGATTGACTATTTCAAACTGACCAGTTTGCGGGCAATTAAATGCTACCGTAATATTGTAAAGATTAACTATTTCAAGAAGTTACTTGTCTTGGTGAAATGAAAGCTATTCAGTTCTAAAGAGATACATTCATATTTTGAGATTTTATTAAGAAACCAAAGTTTTTATTAAAAAAATACGATTTCTATTACAATGATATAATATGGGAATTGCTCGAAATCTTCCCTATATAAATCTGTGTTATTCAAATGTTTAAACTAACTTTTACAGATTTGCAATAATTTATCATCTCCGTCGTCACATGCGCACTCATACGGGTGAGAAACCCTATAAATGTAAATACTGTGAACGTGCTTATGCCGAAAGTGGAGATTTAACAAAACACTTGAGAACCCATGTAGGCGAAAACACCTACATGTGTGATCAATGTCCCATGGCCTTTAAATATCAAGCGGAATTAAGGCAACATCAATCTCAGCATTATAAAATGGCGCAAAAACTTTTGCAGCAGGCACAAAAAATGTCCGAAGAAGCACAACAACATGAAGCAAACGAACAAATAACTACACCACAGCAAGAGCAAGAGCAAGAGAAACAGCAATTAACACCAACACAACAGCAACCAGCACAGCCACTATTATCATTACAAGAACAACAGCAGCAACATAATCAAATGAAAAATGAACAAATACATAATTTACCCATGGGAATACCCAGTTATCAACACCACTTGCCCTTAATAGATCATAATAACATGGTGGAACAAACAAAACTGGAAGATGTTGTAGCAAGGCAACAACAACAGCATCAACAAGACAATTTAGATTTAAAGAATCTCAGTAATTAAAATTTAGTTTTAGATTTTTAGTTATATATTTAGTTGAAAACATAAGCATTTTACATATAATAATATTATAAGCAGTTAATTAATACAAAATAAATTGTATTTTATAGAAAAAGAACATTTTGAAAAGTGCGCTAAAAAATACTTCATTTAAAAGTCACATGAATACTTATTTTACGACCGAAAGTATGCAAAAAATCATATTTAAAAATCGTTAGAAATAGTGGAACTGTCACATCCAAATTGGCAAATTAGCTTTTTTTTTTTGTCGTTTGTGGTCTTAATTGCAGTTACATGTTCTATTTATTGTGAATTATTTGTTATGTTAGGTGAATATTGTTATATGTCGATAAAACAGTGTTTGTTTACATTTTGCGTTTGATACACAATAATAATTGTATTATTTTTATGTAGAAATAAAAATGAGAATTAAATAATTAATATAATAATGTGTATTACAGTTTAGTAAGTAAAATAAGAAAATAATATATATATTCACTGTTTTTTTTTTTTAATAGAAAATTTATTCCTTTAGTTTGTGCAGACATTTGAAGATTCACATTTGACCCAGCTGGAGCTTGACTATTTACGACCCATATTTAAGAAGATTTTCCACCATCATGGAGTATTCATTTAAAACCTGCCTCACTTGCCTCTGCAATTCCGATGAGGCACACAATCTCAATGAGATACTTTTGGAAAACTTAACAATTTTGGAAATACTGTTTAAAATTGTGCCACCCCTATTGGAAAATCAAATCTTAACACTCACACAATGGATATGTATTGATTGTTTGGATAAATTGGTTTTAGCTTATAAGTTTCATCAACAATGTTTGGAATCGGTCAGTTGTTTAAAACAGGATCAGGGAAATGTTTGCAATATCCCCACCAACATGTTTCCATTCGATGAAATTCCTATGGATATTAAAGAAGATCCCGATAGATCAATATATCAAGGTGAAGCTGAGGCAGACAGAATATGCGTTAAGCAGGAGATTCAGGAAAATAGGTATGTGGGAAAAGACAATAATTGGAAACTATAAAATTATCTATAATTATATTTTTTTTATAGCAATGATAAATTCTATTTGTTAAAAGAAAAATACATGAAAAAATCTTTAAAGTAAGTAATAATAAGTAATTTAATATATTTTGACTAATATGTGTTTATGGAAATGTTTAGACGTAGAAAATTAAAGCAGCCTAAGTGCAATTTTATTTGCCTGCATTGTGCGAAGAGTTTCTGCAGTTTAAAACGTTTGGCGGAGCATAAATTAAAATGTACAAATAATGCTAAAGAAGATGTTCATATAAATAAGAATTCCTATAAATATAAATGTTCTCAATGTCCTAAATCGTTTGAAAAACCAACATCCTTCGCAGCACACTATAGAATACATAAAAGACAGATTGAGCCAAAAAGTACTAAAAGCGACAAAGTTAAGCAGGCTTTGAATGAAGAGGATTGGGAAGAATTAGATGGTTCTATAATTATGGATGAACGAGAATTTTTAACGGAAACTGAGGAGGAGTCTCAAGATGATGAATTGTAAGCAAAATGGTTTGTAACAAAAAAAAAATAATATTTTTAATATTTTTTTCCAGAGACAACTCAAAAGAGACAAAAGAGAAAGAAATAACAAATACTGATTCTGGAAATAGCATCAACAAGAAAGTAAAGAAGTATGTATATTTTTTCATAATAAACTTATTAATATTACATAATGATTTGTTTTTTAGAACCAATGGCAGTAATATAAACAAACTTAAATATGCTTGTGATAAATGCGAAAAAGTATTCAAACGTCCTTATTGTCTAACACGTCACAGTAGGGTGCATTCCGCAGATCGACCTCATGAATGTAAAGTTTGTACATATCGCTTTGCCTGTCTTAACACTCTAAAGATTCATATGTTTAAGCATAAAAAAGAATCAGGCCAATTAGACACACCCACACCCCCTAAGGGCATTAAGTGTCCTGTATGCCCACGACGTTGCCGTAATAGAGGAACACTTGCCATGCATCTGTTAGAACACAAACATAAGAAAAACTATTATTCCTGCATGGTATGTGAGTTCAATTTTACCACCAAAAAAAATTTAACTACTCACACAATCAGCCAACATCCTGAGGTGGAAAAACTTAAATGTGACGAATGTGAAAAGATATTTGTTGTACGCGCCCATCTAGAGGAACACATAAAACGGCATAAAGACCAGGAAAATCTAATATGTTTGATGTGTGATAAAGAATTTCGCAATAATGCGGCTTTAACGGAACACATGCGTATACATAGTACGGAAAATCCCAATCTATGTCCTAAATGTGGTAAAACATTTTGCAGTAAAAGTAGTCTGATTCAACATATGGAACGGCATTTGGATTTGAAGAAATACCAGTGTCCCGAATGTCCCACTCGTTTTAATTGCAAATCGGATGTAAAGAAGCATTTGCCAACGCATTCAAAGGTTAAGGCACATGTCTGCGATATATGTGGGTCAAGTTTTACTCGAGCATGTACCTTAATCAATCACAAAATGACACATTTGGGATTGCGTTCGTTTAAGTGTAGTGAGTGCAGTATGACGTAAGTAATTTTTTTAAGTTGAAAATTTTTTTAATAAAAGTGGCGGTTCACACAGGAAAACTTTTGATTTTGTGTGTGTGGGAGAAAGATATGGTTGATATTTTGTTCTCTTTTTCTCACACACAGAAACAAAAGTTTCCTAAAAAAAGTTTCCGGCAAAAACTAAACAACCTATAAAATCTGTATATTACAGTTTCACAGCACGTAAAACTATGTTACGTCACATGCGTACCCATACTGGGGAGAAACCCTACAAATGTAAATATTGTGAACGGGCCTATGCTCAAAGTAACGACTTAACAAAACACTTGAGAACACATATCGGTGAGAATACCTATATGTGTGAACAATGTCCTATGTCGTTTAAATTTTATGGCGAATTAAAAAACCACAAAATTGAACATTTTAAAAAGGCGGAAGCGGAAAAATCTAATCTAGAACAAGAACAACAAAAAGATGCTGCAACATAATTAATATTAAGAAATATACATATGTATAAAATTTGCAAAGTTTTTATAAAAAATATTTAATACATTTATTTAAATGTATTATTACAATTAGGATTTACTATATTTTATATTATTGCGATCTTTTTAAAGATAAAGAAATATATTTGTTTACCTTTATTTCCAGTTATAACTATTGTGATTGCTAAACATTATTGATACATGTTAGACGATAACGCAGTTGTTTTATTTGTTTAATATTGTTTACCGGTGATAAATCCTATAAATGTTAATACTTTGAACCAAGGCGTTAAGTATACCGTGCTTTGGACGATCTTATGCCGAAGCACTTGAGAAACATACATCAAAAAACACCTAAATATGTGTCAATGTCACATCTTTTAAAAAAACGCTTGTCGTTTGTGGTCTTAATTGTAATAATGCTGTATTTATTGTGAATTATATATGATATGTATATAAATAATGGTTATAGGTCGATAAAAGAGTGTTTGTTTACATTTTGTGTTTGACACAATAAAATTTTATTATTTTCAATTGGAGAAATTAAAATGCCATTTAGTAAATAAAAGGCTGGTAAATATAGGAAAAGATTCGTTTATTTATTTACTATTTTTCTAAGTAAAAAGTTATTGCTTTAGTTTTTTACAGATGTGTTTAGTTTTTTAAGATAATTTTCCTTCATCATGGAGTCTTCGCCTAAAACCTGTCTCACCTGTCTTTGTAATACCGATGAGGCACACAACCTCAATGGGATACTTTTGGAAAACTTAACAATTTTGGAAATACTGTTTAAAATTGTGCCACCCCTATTGGAAAATCAAATCTTAACACTCACACAATGGATATGTATTGATTGTTTGGATAAATTGGTTTTAGCTTATAAGTTTCATCAACAATGTTTGGAATCGGTCAGTTGTTTAAAACAGGATCAACAAAATGTTTGCAATCTCACCACCAACATGTATCCATTTGATGAAATTCCTATGGATTTTAAAGAAGATCCCGATAGACCATTTTATCAAGGTGAAGCTGAGGCGGATCGAATAAGTGTTAAGCAGGAGATTCTGGAAAATAGGTATGTAGGAAAATATTCAATAATTGGACTTTAATTCCATTATTAATTATGTTATGTTTTATTGGTAGCAATGATAAATTATCTTTGTTAAAAGAAAAATATATGAAAAAATCTTCCTTAAAGGTGGACAATTTAAAAAAGTAAGTTTATTTCTTTAAATACATATAATTTAATACATTTTAACTAAAACGAAAATGTTTAGACTCAGAAAATTGAAGCAGCTTAAGGGCAAGTTTACTTGCCTGCAGTGTGCCAAGGGTTTCAGCAGTTTTAAACGTTTGAAGGAACATAATTTAAAACATAAAAATTTTGATAAAGAAGATGTTCAAAATAACAAAATCTCCTTAATATATAAATGTTATCAATGTCCTAAAGCGTTTGAAAAACCAACCTCCTTAGCAGCTCACTGCAGAATACATAAAAGAAAGATTAAGACAAAAAGTGCTAAAAGCGATAAAGTTAAGCAGTCTTTGAAAGAAGAGGATTTGGAAAAGGTTGATAGTTCTATAGTTAAGGATGAACATGAAACGGAAACGGAGGAAGAGGATTCTCAAGATGATGAATTGTAAGCAAAATGTATTTTAAATAAAAATATATTAATTATATAAATTTTTTTCATGTTTTTGTCAGAGACCATTTAGAAGAGAAGTTATTTGATAAAACAAAAGGAAAATATACAACAAATAACAATTCTGCAGATAGCAGCAATGAGGATGAAGAAAAGTAGTTTTTTTTTTATAAAAAAACTTATTATTTTCTAATATTTTGTTTTTTTTTTAGACCTAATAGTAGTAAAATAAACAAACTAATTTATGCTTGTGATAAATGCGACAAAGTATTCAAACGTCCTTATTGTCTAAGACGTCACAATAGGGTGCATGCCGCCGAGCGCCCTCATGAATGTAAAGTTTGTACATATCGTTTTGCCAGTCTTAATATTTTAAAGATTCACATGTTTAAGCACAAAAAAGAATCGGGTCAATTAGACACACCCACCCCTAAAGGCATTAAATGTCCGGAATGTCCTAGACGTTGCCGTAATCAAAACACCCTTGCCGTTCATCTGCTAGAGCACAAACGCAAAAGAAAGGATTATCCCTGCATGGTATGCCAGCACAACTTTACCTCCGTAAAAACTCTAACAGTTCACATAATCACCAAACATCCTGAGGTGGAGCAACTTAAATGTGACGAATGTGAAAAGACATTTGTTGTACGCGCCCATCTAGAGGAACACATAAAACGGCACAAAGACCAGGAAAATCTAATATGTTTGGTATGTGAAAGAGAATTTCCCAATAATGCAGTTTTAAGGGAGCACATGCGTATACATAGCAGTGAAAATCCGTATCTATGTCCGAAATGTGGTAAAACATTTAGCAGTAACAGTTGTTTGCATCAGCATATGGAACGACATTTGGGATTGAAGAAACATCAATGTCCCGAATGTCCCATGCGTTTTAATTGTAGATCGGATATAAAGAAGCATATGTCAACGCATTTAAAGGTTAAGCCACATGTCTGCGATACTTGTGGGGCACGTTTTACCCGATCATATTCCCTAATCAATCACAAAATATCACATTCCGGACTGCGTTCGTTTAAGTGCAATCAGTGCAGTATGACGTAAGTAATTTTAAAAGTTTTTCTTAAATTATAATGGAATTAAATTCGTTCTATGGAATGATAATTTTACAGTTTCTCAGTACGTAATTCTATGCTACGTCACATGCGTACCCATACTGGGGAGAAACCCTACAAATGTAAATATTGTGAAAGGGCCTATGCCCAAAGTGGCGACTTAACAAAACACTTGAGAACACATATCGGTGAGAATACCTATATGTGTGAACAATGTCCTATGTCGTTTAAATTTTATGGCGAATTAAAAAAACATAAAATTGAACATTTTAAAAAGGCGGAAGCGGAAAAAGCTAACCTAGAACAAGAACAACAAAAAGATGCTGCAACATAATTAAAATTAAGAAATAATTATAAAATTTGCAATTTATTATTAAAGTTATTATAAAAAAACAGTAATATAAATATAAACAATAATACACATTTAATTATTAATGTATTAATATTTAAAATTTTCATAATTTTTTTGAAAATATGTACATGTAAACAAAATTTGTTTACTTTTATATGCTGACATAACTATTGTGAATGAATGTTATTACAAAACATGTTCAACGATAAGACAGTGTTTTATTTACTATGCCTTTTTCACATTATTTTTATAAAATCAAAGCTAAAAATAATTTTTTTTATTTATTTTATTGCCTTATGTATTATGTTACAAGTATAGATTTTAAATATTATATTTTTGTCATTTTAGCGGATATTTAAAATGAAAACAAGTATTTGTTTACTTTTTTGTCTACACAATAATAACGATTGTGAATGCTTAACATTATTGACATATGTTTAACGATAAGGCAGTATTTTTATTTGTTTAATATTTTTGTTTACATTGGATTTTTTACAATTCTTCGTATATATTTAACAATTTTATTAATTTTCTGCCAGAAAAGAAAAGGTTTATTAGTTTTTAATATATTTATTTAACTATTTAATCATTTCTCTAGCGAGAAATATTAAAAAAGTATAATTATTTTTATTTCTTTAACAGCTATAGACATTTCGTTTAGTTAGATGGTCCACAGAGCTTGGTTTAGCTTCTTCTATGGAATTAGATGTGATTAAAATGTTTCTAGTTTTAATTAACTAAAGTGAAAAGGAATTATATTAATTACTTTATTACAATTATGGATTGTATAACAAAAACCTGTTTAACTTGTCTGGGTACCACAAATGAGGCAAGTAATCTACAGGATACTCTCCAAGATAATCTTAAAATATTGGAAATAATCTATAAAATTGTGCCCGTACTGCTGGAAAATCAAGAATTGACACTGCCCGAATGGATATGTGCAACATGTTTGGACAAACTTGTTATTTCATACAACTTTCAAAAGCAATGTTTAGACGCCATACAAAATTTATATAAATTAGAGGAAAATACTGAAGATGTGGCAAAAAAAGAAAATTTTGAAGATATATATAAGCAGGAGTTGCTACAAGAAGATAATGAAGATTCAATGGAATCTTTTCATGATAATAAAATACAATTTGAGGAATTCGCCCTAGATTCTAAACCCGAAAATGAAGAGGATTTAGAAATGCCATTTTATCCAAATGATGATAAGCAGGAAGATAGTTCACAGGATTATTTAGAAGATAATGAAAGTGGGTAAGTGTAAAACTAATTTTTGTTTTATTTAAAAAGTTTTTGAGATAAATATTTATAAAATAAAAAATTTCAGCGAAAGTGAAAACAAACTAATAACTGATTCCCTACCACCTTATGAAACTGCTTCGCTACAATGTAAAAAGTGTAAACAAATCTTTAAAACTCATCAGGGTTTAACTTCTCACAAAACTAGAGTACATATAAGGAAATATTTATATAATTGTAAAAAATGTTATAGAGGTTTCGATTCTCAGGAACAATACACTAAACATTGTAATCGCCATTTGGGTATAAAAGCTTTTAAATGTCCCAAATGTGATAAAGGTATGAAAACTAAGTTTTGGTTTCTCCTAAGCTTTCCTAACTTTTTAAACTTTGTTTTAGTCTTTGATGCAAATAGCACGCTAAATCAACATTTAATTTCCCACTCCCAAGAGACTCCATATCTATGTACTATTTGCGGCAAAAGTTTTAATCGTTCGGGTTCTTTAAAACAACATATACTAAGACATGGCAATGTAAAACCATTTAAATGTTCTATATGTTCGAAAAGTTTTAAATGTCTGCCAGATCAGTTAAAACACATGTATATACATAAGAAAAAACGTAATCAGTGTAATCTTTGTGGTGTAAGGTTAGCCTCCTTAACAGCTATGGCAACGCATAAACTACTACATACAGGAGCGAAACAAACACAGGATATAAATACAAACGAAGCATTAAGTAAAGCTAATGAAAATGTGGGTTTGGAAAATGTTTCTAAAGAGGAAGGATCTCAAATAGAATTCAAACAGGAAGCTAAGGATAATGAACTTTTAGAACAGCAAGTACACAGTGAGAATGATGATGACACTATGGGTTCTCCATGTGAAGATAAACAGGAACAAGACAACCCTCTTGAAGTAAATAGAATAAGTAACAAATTGGAAAATCAAGTAAAGGAGTAAGTGAAAATTTATAACATTATTTTCGGTTTTTTCGTAATATTTTCCAAATTTTTTTTAGATCTCAATGTTTTCGTATACAAGAACTTAATAATGACAGAACTAACTCATCGGAATCAAATCAATGTAAAGAATGTAAAAGAATATTTAAAAATTCTCATGGCTTAAGTGTACATTATAAGAAGAAACATTTAAAAACTCATTTATATAATTGTGATAAATGTGACAAAGGTTTTGATGCCGAAGAATTCTATATCAAACATTATAATCTTCATTTGGGCATAAAACCTTTTAAGTGCAATCAATGTGAAAAAAGTAAGTAAAATATTGAAACAAGTATATAATAGTGTAGTCTCTAGACTAAATTGTAGCCTATAGTATGCACTTTAGACTAGTTTAAAACTGGAATGGAAAATTTATGACTTCTTTTATATTTCTCTAGCTTTCGAAAACAGATATTGCTATAACCAGCATTTAATTACCCATTCTGAAGACTCACAATTTCCTTGTAAAATTTGTGGCAAAAGTTTTCGACGTAAGGGTATTTTAAAGCAACATCACCAGAGAGCGCATACTGGTGAAAAACCCTTTAAATGTAAATATTGTAGTAGAACCTTTAGTCTGGCATGTGATATGAAAATGCATAGAAAACGTATACATAAGGATATACAATCTGATGAAAGTGATGATGAAGATTTATGGTTGGAAAATCCTTTTAAAGAATTACAACAGCAAGATGTTACAAAACCGAAAGCTGGGGAACATAAGCCGCAGGAAAATGAATCGTTTAGCAATGATAATGGTACTTTGATAACTGTAAGCGATAACAGGGAAGTAGTTGAAACACAGCATATAAGAGAAGACTCTTTTAATGAGATATTGGAACTTAACAAAGACAGGTAATTGAAAAACTTGAAATAATGCCAATTCTTGAACGCTACTAATCAGGAAGCTGAACATTTTAGCAATGACGAAGTTACTTTGCTTAATTTAAATGAAAATAAGGAAGTAGTTGAACAACAGGAACCTGAAGAAGATTCTTTAAATGATATATTGGAACTAAATAAAAGCGAGTAAGTGAAAAAAAGCTAAAAGTAACATAAATTGTAACGTCACTAAGAATCTTTTTTTTTCAGAATTGAAGAAAATCTACTGATAGAGCTAAAAACTCCAGTAATAAAAAATCAATGTAAAATATGTAAACATGTATTTAGGACATCACAAGGTCTAGCCTCACACAGAACTAAAGCACATATAAAAACATATCAGTACAATTGTGATAAATGTTATAAAGGTTTTGATTCGAAGGAAAACTACAAAAAGCATGTTGATCGTCATTTAGGTGTAAAAGCGTTTAAATGTCCTCAATGCAATAAAGGTAACTTTTTCTTTAAATGCCTAATCAATTCAAAATTTTCTTTAATTTTAACTTTTAACTTTCAGCTTTTGATTCGACCGGTACTTTAAATCAACATTTAATCTGTCATTCGAATGAGACACCTCATTTGTGTACGATATGTGGCAAAAGTTTTAATCGTGCGGGTAGTTTAAAACAACATACCCTAAGACATGGCACTGAAAAAACATTTAAATGTTCCTTATGTCCCAAAAGTTTTAAATGTCTACCCGATCAGATTTCTCATATGTATAAACATAATGGCAGACGTTATGTGTGTAATATTTGCGGTGCTAGTTTATCCACCTCTTCATCTTTGGCAAGTCATAAGCTAATACATACCGGTGAAAGACCCTATAAATGTGATCAGTGTGATAAAAGGTATTAAAATTTAAAACCTATACATATACAAAGTTTTTGTAATTTTCTCTTTTTTTTTTAATTTCAGCTTTAATATTTCATCTAATCTGCATGTTCATAAAAGAATACATACTGGCGAAAAGCCTTATAGCTGTCCATATTGTGAGAAAACTTTCCGCCAAAGTAATGATCGTAATAAACATGCCACACGTGTACATAGAAAAGAAATAGCTGAAGCAAAAGCTGCATCAAAAGTAGATGATAATGTAGAGCAGAATGTTTCTAGTTAGAAGAAGAAATATTTAAAATAAACGGATCTACTAAAGGTACTACTAAGTTTTTTGGTAAGTGAGTGATTAGAATATCTGGTAGATAACTGATATATTCAAAAGTTTTTCTTTAAACTAAATATAAAAATGCAATTAATTACTGTTCTCAATATAAAATGACAAATGGCGGAAAAACGTCTTTCCAAATGAATCTTAAAAAACTGTAGTGCAAAGTCTAGTCTATGGTCTAGTCTATAGTCAAGTCTATATTCCAGTCTATAGTCTAGTCTAATCTACAGTCTAGTCTATAATCTAGCCTATTGTCAATTATACAGTCTTGTATATAGTCTAGTCTACTTTATAGTCTAGTCTATTATCAAGTCTATATTCTAGTCTATAGTCTATCATACAGTCTAGTCTGTCTACTTGATACTCTATATAAATTTAAAACATGACGCTATTTTACTTTGAAAACACAACTTTATTAAAAAATTATATAAAAATTATCTCCAAATGAAAATTTATTAGCAAAATCCATTATTCAAGTTCAAATCTTTTCATTTCCCATAACTTTAACTTAATAATCCTTGCTGGAATGTCTTCTATGAGCACTATTGGCAGTATGACGTTCGGAATTTTCAGCAGAAGCAATCAATTGCATAACTTGTCCAGTGGCACGACCCACACAATGTTTATCCAGTTCACGGCCATTTGGTTTTAAGCATTTTTCCAATTTTTCTTCGGCCAATTTGAAAAGTCTAGTTTTCAAGTGAGCCATATCGGACAAAACATCCGAATTCTTTATACGATGTGTAACTTTAGTTTTAAACGAACTGGCGCCGGGCAAAGAGGCCACCGAAGATTGCCATTGATAATGATGAGAAAAAGATGATTGTCTGCTATCTTCTTCCGAGGAATCCAAATAGTTGGCATAGCCCTAATAAAATAAAAAAAACTTAAATTTTCTTATAAAGAAAAATTAATTTCGTGGAAAGTTACCTGAGCCGCAAGAGCCAAAATTAGTATAACGAATAATTTCATTTTTAGTAGTTGACTTTTTCTTTTGAACGTAGAGTTGTTACTACATATTGGTTATAGAAATTGTTGGGCTTTTTATAGAAATAATTCATGATTAGTTGCTAAAGAAAATTGCGTTAAATCAGCAATTTCAAGCTTATCTTCTTATAAAAGTGTTTAGTTTGATTTGTAGTTTATAGTTTAAATATTAATCTTTTGTTGGGTTATTGAACTTTTGTTTTAGATTAAATAGTTTATAAACAATTAGAAATTTCCATCTGAAATCAGACATTTTTATACTAAATTGAAAATTCCTATGAAAATTTAAAAATTGTATTCCAAAATAGTTTTTTTTTTTTCAAATTTTTATTCAAAATTGGAACTTTCTTGTTAAAATTGTAAATTTCTACAACAAATTTTCTAGGAAATTAAAAATTTTTAGTTCGAGAAGAAAATTTTTATTCAAAAATGAAAATGTTTATGTTTAAAAATTGAAATTTTCTATGCCAAGTTAACATTTCTATTTTACTCGAAATTGTAAAATTTTTATTACAAAAATAATATTTCTATTTGAAATTTAATCTTCAAAATAAACAATTTTATACATTTTCTAATTAAAATTTTTAAAATGTTTACTTAAAAAAGGGATTTCTTATATTCTCCCACAATTTCCTCTTAAATAAATTATCCGGTAACCCTGTCTTATCTGATGAATGACACTCGCGATGACAACAAAAAGTTTGGCATTATTGTCGATAAAACAGTTTACTATTGTTTACATATCTTAAGGGTAGAGAAAAATTACAAACATTTATAGTAATTTCTATAATTAATTAGTTTTTAAACGCAAAATTTACACAAAATTTCCAACACAAAGTCTTACTAATTATGTTAATAATCGAAATATATGGACGGGTGTGTCGAGTGTGTATGTGTAAATCGAATAATTTGCATAGTTTAAATGACAGCACCGAAGAGTGTCTAACCATGAATGAAATGTTGACGAAAACTGTCTCCGGCATACATGCCAACATCGAATTTCCAGTGCCTCAAGAAATTTGTGATTTATGCATGGAGCATTTACAGATCGCCTATAGATTCCAACAGCTGTGCATGAACACCAATGAACAAATGCAAAAAATATGGGAACAGTCGCAAAAGGCAGAGGTTAAGCAGCAGTCCTTAACAGGAGAAGCAGAGAATGAAGAAGATGAACCAGATCCCATTAAGGTGGAATATGATATGGTGGAGGGGGAGGAGCAAAAATTTGATAATGTTGAAATGTTAGAAGATTTTGAAAATGTGGAAAATGGTCAGAAATGGGAAAATGATACAGATGAGGCTCCGGATAGGGATGAATTGTAAGTTTTTATTGTAAGAATATAATGTAAATTATTTGAACTATATAAAATATTTCTAGGGCCTGTCAAGATACTTCGTTAAAATCAAGTTCTTCATCTTCCGGCCGACTAGGCGCTACTCGCTTTTCCTGCTTAGAATGTAAGGAATCATTTGCAAAACATTCTCAATTAAAACGTCATCGTCGTAAACATGAGTCAACGCATCCCTTTGATTGTCAAAAGTGTACACAACGTTTTAAAAGTAAATCCCTGTTGGCAAAACATTCAAAAAGCTGTAAAAAAGACAAATGTCCAATGGTGGGTAAAAGTGATAGCGAGGATGAGGACGATGAGGATGATGACGATGTACCTCTAAGTACTTTAAAGAAAACAGAAAGTGATAATGAAAGGTAGGTGGAGATTTTTTTTTAGAAAATTAAAAGTTTTCCTACATTTTCCTTTTATACAGTGACGTCTCCAAGGAAAATAATAAAAAGAAACAAAAATCCTTAAAAAGTGAGAAAAAGACTCCTTACCATTGTTCCAAGTGCAATAGCTATTTCAAATATAGTTATCAGCAGACAAAACATCGTTGCAGTGATGAAGATAATGAAGGACATAAATGTGAAGTTTGTAACAAGACTTTTAGCACAGAAAACATGTTGAAAAAACACATGAGTAGCAAACATAAAGACAAGAAAAACAAAACAGAGAAAAAGACTTTAGACAAAAGTAAAGTCTCCGATGAAGAGGATGGTGATGAGGAATTCAAACCCGAAGAAGTTGATATGGATCAAGACAATGATAATTGGAATGATCAAGGCGAATCCTCAGATGATAGCGACTCTGATTATGCAGAGAAAGAAAAAACTGCAGCCAAGGCTAAACCAGAGCCCTTAGAAAATCAATACAAATGTAAGGAATGTTTTGCTTCATTCAGATTTGAAAAGCAACTTGCTAGGCATATGAAAAAACACACCGAAGCCCATCGTTTTATATGTGTTTTGTGTTGGGATCGTTTCAAGTATCCGCACATGCTGCAGAAACACATGCAAAAACATCACCCGGAGGATAATCCTAATCCCAAAGTGGCCGAGACCAAACCGGAAAATGTAGAAAAGACACACGTTTGCAGTTATTGTCCATCGGCCTATTCAAATGTGGGCGGTTTGGCTCAACATATGAGTAAGAAACATCCCGAAATTAAACCTTTCAAGTGTGACAAATGCGATAAGACATTTGTGGTCGAGGAACATTTGAAAATACACACAAATCGTCATATGGGTATTAAAAACTTTAAATGTGATCTTTGTGATAAATGTAAGAGCAAAGTTTTTTTTTAAATTTCAATTTTTCATTAATTTTCTAAAAATTTTCAGCATTTTCATTTAAGTTTGCCATGAAACAGCATATGCGCATACACACTGGAGATTTGAATTATTTGTGCACCTTGTGTGGCAAGAAATTCTATAGACCCAGTAATTTGCGCCAGCATATGCAACGTCATGGTGATGATAAGCCCTATACATGTCCTCACTGTCCCAAACGTTTCAAATGTCCCTCGGATCGTTATATACATTTAATGTCTCATCAAGAGGGTAAAAATCATGTTTGTCAGACTTGTGGCGCCAGATTTTCTCGAGTGGATACTTTACATCAGCATCAAATTTTACATACGGGAGAAAAACGCTATAAATGTGACCAATGTCCCATGGCGTAAGTTTTCATGACATTTTTTTCGATAAACAAAATAGTTGTTTTCATTTGGAATATTTTTCTTTCTCTAGCTTCCCCCGTTTAATGAATTTAAATCGTCACTTACGCACTCATACCGGTGAAAAACCCTACAAATGTAAATTTTGCGAAAAAGCCTATGCCCAGAGTAATGATTTAAATAAACATTTACGCACCCATGTAGGAGAGAATACCTATATGTGTACCCAGTGTCCGGCTGCGTATAAATATCAAGCGGACTTAAGAAATCATGAATGGGAACATTATCGTCTACAAAAGGAGGCCGAACAAAAGGCTAAAGATGAAGCGACTGCCTTAAAAACGAAAGAAGAACAAACTGTTATGGAAGTTAATGTATAAAAAATATATATTATTTATTATATATTATAATAACTATTTACATTTAAGGATATATTATAACAAAACATACACATACTCTACAGGCTTATAAAAAAGGATTTTTATTTTAGAATAAAAAAAATATATTATTAATTATAAAGACCTTTACTTAATAATATTAAATACTGATTAAACAAAAGTAGTAGTTTTTCTGCTAAAAATTTATATATTTAAATAGAATTGTGAAAAACAAAATTTTTGGCAAATTTAAGTTTGTTGTAAACAAGCTAACCATTTTCAGTACATGTCGTTAATTTAAATGTAAACAGTCGATAATAGCGTTATCACAAATTTGTAAACAAATGTTCATATTTTGAAGTTTTGAGATTTTCTAAAATTAACACTAATTAAATTAAATAAAAGCATCTTGTGCTTATCATTTTATTGCTGTGATTTAACATAAAGAATCAGTAATGTGTTTTTAACTGTTTTGTGTTAACACTAACACCAGTATTTGTAATAGACAAAAAAGATAATGCCGTGTTCAAAAAGTTTACAAGAAATTAATATCTTATGTAACACAATTGCAAGTAAAAAAATTCCATAAGCCTTAATTAATATTAAAATATATTTTTTATGTAAAATTATCAATTTTTCTCTATAAAAAGCAATATAATTAATATCATAATATCATATGGTTGTATCATGATTAATATGAAAACAATGATATAGAGTATAGTGTTAACCATTTGCAGTACATTAAAATTATTTAAATGTTAACAGTGATAATACTGTAACCAGTATTTGTTGGTAGAAAAAAATCTATTCTATTTTTTTCAAACAAAATTTTTTTTTTATAATAATTCAGTTTAACTGAAAATGGCGTCGCATCCATTTGGTCGTGTTTGTCGCACTTGTTTAAAACATCCCAGAAATATGCAAAAATTAAGCAATTTATTGGAAAATGGGACGAAAATCGAAGATATCCTTAAACAAACTATACCCAATTTCGAACTAAAAGTGCAGGGCATGCCGCAGCCTGAAGAAATATGTAAAACTTGTCTTAATAAATTAAAAAAATCCTATGATTTTGTACAAATATGCCAAAACAGCAATAAGGAATTGGAAAATATCTGGAAACTACAGGAGCAGGAAAGATCCCAAGAAAACATTACAGAGGATGTTCCAGATGTTAAGGTAAAAGAAGAGTTGTCCAGAACCTCTAATAAAGGTCCCACAAAAGACATTGAAAAACCAAATGAAAGTGATGCGGAAGACAATAGCAGCTCGGAATATTCTTGGCCTATTCTAGAAGAATATGGTGTTGAAAGGTAGGGTTTGAACTTTGACATATGTATAAAGATTTTTATGTTGAAATTTTAATTTGAAAGTAGTTGCACTGATATAAGTTCCACACAAGCCTCTGAAGATACAAAACTTGAAATTGAAAATTCAAATGAGAACGAAGACACTAGCAGCTCGGAGGATTCTTGGGCTTTTCAAGATAAAAATAATAGCGAAAGGTATGTTTTAAAACTTACATATTTAAAGATTTTTTTTAAATTTAATTTTAAAGCAGTAGCAGTGAAAATGATACAACAGCTTCACCACCAACTAAAAAAACCTTATTAACTAAACATTTGGCGAATGAATTTGCTTGTCATATGTGTAGCTATCGTTTTTCTACCGAAAGAAAACTAATGAACCACTTAATTTGGATACACAAATTTAAAGCCAGTAATTTACATAAGGGACACTATGACTGTGAATACTGTTCCTTTAAATTTTATGAAAAAATGGAATGGGCCAATCATGACTGTATGAAAATAAAAGGAAATCGAAAATTGTGTAGCTTTTATTTTGATGCTTGGCCACGAAAGAATCAATTTAATGAAGGACCCTTTATATGTAAATATTGTTCATTAAAATTTTATGAAAAATCGGATTTGTATGATCATGGTTGTTATATGAAAGCAAAAAAACAAAAGCGTCGGCTTTAAAAATAAAAGCAAAATAAACTCTTAAATACCAATAAATACGTGGTAATTAAAACAAATAATCTTTATTTTAAAATTAATAAATAAAAGCTTTAAGAAATAGTTTGAAATAAAAAATAAAGTTTTTTTTCTTTAAAAAAAAGTTCATTTAAAGAAATTTTCCCAAATATAGAAAATTTCAAGTTCGTTGGGTTAGTACGACAAACGTGCTAACCATTTTTAGTATATGGCGGTAATTTAAATGTAAACAATCGATAATGCAGTTTTCACAAGTGTAAAGAAAAACTATTTTTAAACTTTACAAACGTGTTAACCATTTTTAGTACACGACGGTAATTTAAATGTAAACAATCGATAATGCAGTTTTCACAAGTGAAAAAAAATTATTTTTAAACTTTACAAAATATAAAAAAGTAAATAATTTGTCTATAATTAGTAATTTATAATACTTTAATACGCATTGAAAACGATTTTGTGCTAACCATTTTCAGGACTTTGCAAATAGTAAACTGTCGATAATGTTTTACCTAAAAAAAGTATAGAATTAAAAACAGTAAAAAGGGTTTTGTGTTAACCATTAGCAGTATATTAAGATAATTAAATGTAAACAGTGATAATATGGTAGCAACATAACTGTTGTCTGAAAAAAATATTTTTTGCAAACAAAATTTTTTTGTAAATAATTCAGTTTAACAAAAAATGGCGTCGTTTCCAATGGCTCAAGTTTGTCGTACATGTTTAAAACCTTCGGAAAATATGCAAAATTTAAGCAATTTATTGGAAAATGGGACCAAAATCGAAGATATCCTTAAACAAACTATACCCAGTTTTGAACTTAAAATGGTGGGACTCCAGCTGCCTGAAGAAATATGTAAATCGTGTCTAAATAAACTAAAAGAATCTTTCAATTTTATACAAATGTGTCAAGAAAACAATAAGGAATTGCAAAACTTATGGAAACTTCAGGAGCAAGAAATTAAGAGATCCCCTAAAGACTTTACCCAGAATATATTAGAAGTTAATTTTACACCAGAACTGAACGAAGAAATCTACTTTACTGTTAACCTCGATGTAGGTACTCCACAAGTCATTGAGGAAATTACAGTTGAAACTGAAAACCCCAATAAGTGTCAAGCAGCATCTACGATTTAAGTTCGCCACAAGCATTTGAAGAGATAAAACTTGAAATTGAACAACCAAATGAAAGTCAGACGGAAGATACTAGCAGCTCGGATGATTATTGGCCTTTTCAATATAAAAATGAAAACGAAAGGTAATTTTTTAAAATTCTTTAATGGTTTTTATATGAAAATTTAATTTTAAAGCAGTAGCAGTGAAAATAATACAACTGTTTCATCAACAACTTCAAGCGAGGATACTGTCGATGAATTAGCTTGTCATATGTGTAGTTATCGTTTTTCTACTGAAAGAAATCTTAAATATCACTTAATAGGAACACACAAATTTAAAGCCAGTAATTTACATAAGGGATACTATGAATGTGAATACTGTTCATTTACTTTTTATGAGAAATCAGATTGGGCTGACCATGAATGTATGAAAATAAGAGGGAATAGGAAATTGTGTAGCTTTTATTTTGCTGCTTGGCCGCGAAAATATCAATATGATAAATGGCCTTATGTGTGTAAACATTGTTCCTTTAAATTTTATGAAAAATCGGAATTGTATGATCATGATTGTTATATGCAACCAAAAAGACTGAAGCGTCATTGGCCTTAAAAGTAAAAGTAGAATAAACTGTTTTGGAAGTTAATGTATAGAAATTCCAAAAAATTTTAAAATCAATAAATAAAAACCTTTAAAAAATAACTCAAAACTAAAAAATAAAAATGTTTTCTTTAAAAGAGTTCAATTATTAACCATTTTTTATAAATTTAGAAATTTCAATTTCGTTGGTTAATAGACAAACCGTGCTAATCATTTCCAGTACATGATGTAAACAATCGATAATACAGTTTTTACAAATGTATATAAAAATCAGTGTACACTAAACAGGTATATGCAATCGAACAGCTGATAATTTTTTTGTTTTCTTATTTGTATACCTTCTCTGTCAAAATATGTTTGTTTATTTGAAACGAAATAAAATTTTAATAATAAAAAATTTTAAATGTTTAGTTTGTAAAATAATAATATTGTTTGTACAAAAAATACATTTCAACCATCTTCCGCATTGCGCCCTTTGTGAGGTCCGCTGTCTTTAGCCAAACTTCATCCGTTTAGAATAGAACTTTAATGGCACAAATCAGGTCATTCCAGATATCAACTATCCCCCGTATTGCGCACGTTCTGTTGTCTTTAGCCACACTTTGGTAGCCACAACACAACTTTATTGGCACAAATCAGGCCAATTCAGATATCAACAATCTTTAGTATTGCGCCCGTTGCCTGGCCCACTTTTGTTTGCCAAACTTTTGTAGCTAAAGATACAAATTTAGTGGCACAAATCAAGTTATTCCAAAATCTTGCTTTTGCCAAGTCCTCTGCCAATTCCTTTGTAATATTTACCAATAGCATCCAGCTTAATATAAGTATATAAACATGCATATCCCTTAAAATTCCATTTAAAATCACTGCATGTTTTTTGAAATAAAATTAAGAATTTTTTTTAAAAGACAAACATCAAAAAGTATTTTTATTTATTTTGACATTGAGCTCATACAATTACAAAAACAAAATACATGTTAATTTTGTATTGTGTAGTGATGCATACACCTGTTTAGTGTACCCTGATAAAAATGAATTTATTATTTAAAGGAATAATGAAAACTTCTCTATAAACTTTACAAACTATAAAAAATTAAATGCTTTTCTATAATTAGAAATTAAAAATACTTAAATAGACAATAAATATAAATTTGTGCTAACCATTTTTAGTATTTTGCAAAAAGTAAACAGTTGATAATGTTGTTCATTAATAATAGACAAGGATAATAAATCATTGTACAAAAGCTTATAAAAATGTATTTATGTAAAATTTTTTTTATATATAATCAAACATTTTTCTCCATAAATAAATTAATATGTACCTATAATAACAGTAAAAAGTTTTTGTGGTTACCATTTGCAGTACATTACGATAAGAAAATGCAAATGGTCGATAATACTGTAACTACAGCTGTTGGAGAAGAGATATATTTATTATTATTTTTTTTTTTTTTTTGCAAACAAACATAAAATCTTAATATTAAAATTTTTATAAATAATTCAGTTTAATTAAAAAATGGCATCGCTACCAATAGTTAGCGTTTGTCGCACTTGTTTAAAACATTCCAAAAATATGCCAAAATTAAGTGATTTATTTGAAAATGGCAAAAAAATTGAAGATATCCTTAAACAAACCATACCAGAGTTTGTGGTAAAAATTGGGGGACTACCGTTGCCTGAAGAAATATGTAAACAGTGTCTTAATAAACTAAAAAAATCCCATGATTTTGTACAAACATATCATAAAAGCAATAAAGAATTGCAAAATATTTGGAAACAACAAATGGAGAATGTGGAAAGCTCCACTGAAGACATTCCCAAGGATATTTTAGAAATTAATTTTAAACCAGAACTAGAAGAAGTAATCAGTTTTACTGTTACTACCGACATAAGTTCAACACAAGCCTTTGAAGAGATAAAACTTGAAATGGAACAACTGAATGAGAGTCAAAAGGAAAATATTAGCAACTCGGAGTTATATAGACCCTTTCAAGATAAAAATGATAACGAAAGGTAGGTTTTAAACTTATTTAAAGGCTGTTTAGGTTAAATTTTAATATTAAAGCCGTAACAGTGCTATAAATCCTGCACAAGCCTTTGAAGAGGCAAAACTTGAAATAGAAGAAGCACATGAGAGTCAAATGGAAAAAAACATCAGCAGCTCGGAGGAGTGTAGGCCTTTTCAGGATAAAAATAATGGTGAAAGGTAGGATCTTAAACTAATTTAAAGGCCTTTTATGTTAAAATTTAATATTAAAGCAGTAGCAGTGAGAATGATATTACAGATTCACCAACAACTAAAAAAACCAAAAGAATTTATCGCCAAAAAGCCACTACAAAACGTTCAAATACCAAAACATGTCTACATTGCAATGAAAAGTTTAGCAGCAGAACACATTTAACTAAACATTTGGATGTACACGATCCAGTCTATGAATTTGCTTGCCATTTGTGTAGCTATCGTTATTCTACTGAAAGAAAACTAAAAAATCACTTAAAATGGACACACAAAATTAAAGCCAGACATTTAGATAAGGGACACTATGTCTGTGAATACTGTTCAATTAAATTTTATGAAAAAATCGAATGGTCTAATCATGATTGTATGAAAATAAAACGGAATAGAAAATTATGTAGCTTTTATTTTGATGATTGCCCACGAAAAAACCAAAATGGTAAAGGAACCTATGATGAATTAAAAACTCACATGGATGTTAAATATCCAGCTGAGTTAGATTTCAAATGCCCTACTTGTGAACAAACTTTTTCTGAAGAAATCCAGCTGAAATATCATATTAATGAACATATGGGCTATAAGAAATTAACTTGTAATTTATGTGAGAAGAGTAAGTTAGTTTTCAAGCTAAAATTTTCATGGGTGATTAAATAACAATAAAATTTGTTTTAGCTTTTATCACTAGCTTGGCCCTAAGAGATCATAAAGTTAATCATGCTGGTAAAGAACAATTTCTATGTCCCCACTGTGGCAAATCTTTTAAAACAGCGAATATTTTACGTTTGCATGTACTAAGACATGGTGAGAGAAAATACTCTTGTGCGGAATGTCCCATGAAGTTTTATGTTCAATCCAAACTGAACGAACATATGAGCGTACACACTAAACTAAAACCTTATGTTTGTAATATTTGCGATAAAACATTTGCTCGTCCTTCATCATTAAAAGCCCATAAGTTTATACATACCGGAAAAAGACCTTTCCTATGTGATTTATGTAATATAAGGTAACATGTTTTAATTATATTTTGAAAAATCTTTAATTGTTATCAAAACAAATTTTTAGCTTTGCCTTTAAACGTCACTTGAAGAGGCATAAAATCACTCATACTGGGGAAAAACCTTATGCCTGCACCTATTGTGATCGTGCTTATGCTTCCAGTGGTGATTTAGTTAAACACTTACGTTCGCATGTGGGTGAAAAAACCTATTTTTGTGATCAATGCCCCGAGGCTTTCAAATATTCCATTGAACTTAAGGATCATAAGCTTAAACATTATAAAGAAAATTTACAAGAAAATAACGATTAAAAAAATCAAACTTCTTTAACGGCTGCAAGGTTTCATTGACACTTTATTTTAAGTTATATGTAAAGTTGTGTGTTTATAACTAAACAAAGAAAATTTTATTGAAATTATGAAATTGCAAATCTATATGGTTTGAGCGTTTTCATTTCTTGAACAATTTAAAAATTGAATTTGGTATGTTATTTTCTAATTTAAACGTATTATTATAAAACATATTTGTCGCTTTAACATATTTAAAAATTAAATTTTTTAACGCATTACTATGTGAATGATGTCAATTGTGCATGTTCAGCTATTTAAAGTAAAAACGCCATGTTGGCTTTATTTGACTTTTTCGAGCTAACCGTTCCCCGTACATGTCTTAATATTGACATTTGTCGATAATAGCGTTCAAACAGCTGCTTTGTGGAAAAAATTCTTCACGTACGCTTTTGTTTACAAGCGCATTATTTTAACAAATTCTTTATTTTATATTAATTTCTATTGTAAAAAAAATCATGACTACAATATTATTGGGTCGTATTTGTCGTACCTGTTTAAAAAAATCCCAGGATATGCATAAGTTACGCGAGTTTATACGTGATGATTTACAAATCGAGGACATGCTTAATCAGGCTATACCCAATTTTGATTTGGGCATGGATGACATACCACTGCCGGTGGAGATATGTGAAGAGTGTTTGAATAAAGTACAAAAAAGCTATGACTTTGTACAAGTTTGCCTAAACAGTAACAAGGAGTTAAGGAATATCCTAAATCAGCAAGAGCAAGAAATCGAGGGCACTTTGATGGGCGGCACTTGCGAAGTAAATCCCATGGAGATTTTAGAGGAAACTGATATTTTAATGGATAATTTCAAAAAAGAACCGCATGATGAAAACTCTAATGCCAGTCAGAACAGAGTAAATGGTGGTGTTGAGGTCTTGAGTCCTTATCATGAATTGGAGGCTGTAAAGCTGGAAGTGGAAATGTTAAGTGGTAGCCATCATGATGATGGTAGTAGTTCTGAGGAATATTGGCCTCATGATAGTAAAGAAGACAGTGATAAGTAGGTCTTTTTTATTGCTAGATATATAAAACACTTTTTAATTAACATTTGTTTTCCAGCAATTTCTTTGAAAATATGGCCAAAAAACCGGTATTAGATATTAAACCAAAACGTAAATATAGCCGTAGAGTACCCTTAAAACGTGGCGGCACTAAGGTGTGTCTACACTGTAATAAGGTGTTTGCCAAACAGAATCTTTTAACTAAACATTTATCGGTACACGATCCGGACAATGAATTTGTTTGCGATGTTTGCAACTATCGCTTTTCTAGCGAACGCAAACTTAAGACACATGTTACCAATAAACATACCGGTGTGGAAATAAGTTTAGCGGGAGGTCCTTATCCCTGTCCTGATTGTCCCATGATATTTCAACAAACACGCGCCTTGGCAGCTCATAGTGTAATGCATTCGGAAAGGGACTTTAAATGTCAAGTGTGTGATTTGTCCCTTAAGACCATGGCTGCTGTTACGCGGCATATGAATTGTAAACATCCTGATGTTTTGCCCTATAAGTGTAATATATGCGATAAAGCATTTCCGGTGGAAAATCATTTGAATGATCATATTAATGAGCATATGGGTTATAAGAAACACAAGTGCGATTTATGTGAGAAAAGTAGGTTTTCTTTTTTAAGTCCAAATTTAAAAGAAAAGGTAAAGTAATCCTTTTAATTTACAGGTTTTCCCAATACTACTGCCCTAAAGGATCATGTACGCGTGCATACGGGTGAATCTCCTTTCTTGTGCCCCCACTGTGGCAAAGCTTTCAAAACCGGCAATGTTTTGCGTCAACATTTACAAAGACATGGTGAGAAGAAATTCCATTGTCCCGAATGTCCCATGAAATTTTACGTTAAAGTTAATCTAACCAAACACATGAGTTCACACACTAAACTTAAGCCTCACGTGTGTGATATATGCGGTTCAGCATTTACTCGTCAAGATTCCTTGAAGGCTCATAAATTTAAGCATTCCGGTGAGAGACCTTTCAAGTGTGAGGACTGCAATATGAGGTAATATATAATTTTTGTTCTAAAATTAAGAAAACTTTGAGTGAAATTGGCACCAATGTCACAAAGAAGGTTGATTAGGAGCTATAGAGCTGCATTACAATTTGGCCAAGTCTGACCAAACATTTATTTATCGTACATAACTAGAAACTATACATTTTTTCTTTTTCCCTTAGCTTTGTTTTCAAACGCCACTTGAAACGCCATAAAATCACTCACACTGGCGAAAAGCCCCATATGTGCAGTTTTTGTGATCGTGCTTATGCGGCCAGTGGTGATTTAGTTAAACATTTGCGTACCCATGTGGGAGAAAAGACCTATTTTTGTGACCAATGTCCCGAATCATTTAAATATGCAATTGATCTTAAAGACCATAAGGTTATGCATTATAAGGAAATAAGAAATTTGCAGCAAACACAACAACAAGATCAACAAGAACCACAAGAACAAAATGTTGTGGAAAAAATTCCCGAAATATCAAATGAAACGATAGTAATGGAAACGGAAACTGCTGTAGTAACGCTGGAAGAACTATATGAAGTTGATAAGAATTTGGATGACTAAAAACAAAATTAATTTTTAATTAAGCGAATGAAGTGTAGATATGTATTAAATAATAGTATAAAAGTAAATTTTGGATATGTAATAAAAGAGTTAACATTAACAAATCTTATTTTTAGCATGAAAGGAAAGGGAAATGTTTCTAATGCTTAATTGTATATTTTAGCTGAAACATTAGTTTCAATTAATAGTTCGAACACAAACGACTTTATATAAAAAATGCTGTATTCTATATATTTGTACTTAATATATTTTTTAACATTTCTCCACCCCTGTTTATTTAGTACTAAAACGACTACAATTGCTACCACAAACCGTTAACCACAACAACATGTTAAAACGTAACCTAATAATAATCGCTTGCCGTTATCGCTAACAATTGCAATTCTTTAGGCAAATAACCGTAAATGTGTGTTATTATTTCGCAGTGAGTGCTTAGTTAGCAAAAAAGAAGCTTTCTTTTGCAGTTGCAGCGCCATTTTTCAGTTAATTTTGTGAAATTTTTGTTTAAATTAAAAAAAAATATAGTTTAAAATCATTGCTAACATAAAAAGAACTGTTAATAATTTTATTGAAAATGTGATAAGTTTATTATAATTAAAGTGTTGTGTTTTAGTAAAATGTTAAGTGAAAATCTATTGAAAGGAATAAGGAGTAAGCTTGGCGTCACTAAAGTTTTCTGATTGCTGCCTAAATTTAAAAGATGATGAACAAAAACCTGATAAAAGGTAAGGATTTCAATTTATTCATGCAAATATTTATTTAAAATGTAAACGTATGAAGATTTGCAAGGGCAATATAATTGTCTTGATAGTGGCAGGATGCCTGTTTTGTGGCCGCCATTTTGTTTTTGAAGGAATTTATCAATTCGAATTGTAATTTTTAATTAGGCACATAATAAATATTGCGTTCTTATGAGAATTATAATTACTGCCGCGCTTTCTATAACATATTACGGGTTTTTTGATGTTTCGGTGTAATTTTAATCTGGCGAAAGAGAACTTTAGTTTGACGCACACCATGACATTGTTTTCTACGGACTTATTTATATGTCTTTCCATAATATTGTCTATAATCTGATCTTTTATCATCAAAGTTAGGTCTATTGTCTTGGCTATAAGTGTGGTCTTTTTGTCTAAAGTTTGGCTTATAGTGCAGTGTAGCCTACAGTCAGTTCTTGACTATAATTTGGTTAATAGTGTTGTATAGTCAGATTTGTAGTTTTCTCAATAGTTTAATCTACAGTCTTGTTTAATCCAAAATCTTGTCTAAAGTCTGGGCCCAATTTATGGCATACGATATCGATCGAAATCTCCATTTAGATTGTATTGAGATTTAGATCGATATTGTATGCCCTAATTTGGGCCCTGGTCTATACTATAGTATCTTCTATAGTATCTATTGTCTATAGTCCAGTTTATATTATGATTACCCAGTAGTATATTAGGGGGTTGCGAATGCCAGTTTAGCGAAAGCGAATAATAAGTTTTATTTTTTGCGAATACGATTGCAAAAGCGAATGCGAACTCAAATAGCATAATTCAAATTATGTAATTTATTACTCATTCGCTGGCTAAACTAGAGGCGCAAGCACAAAAAGAAAGAAAATCTATGATAACTTTAAAAGCCAAAAACTGTGAAAACATAAAATTCTATTTTCTAGTTAAATAGAGGCGCTAGAACAAAAACAAAGAAAATCTGTGATCACTTTAATTTTCCATCAAAAATTGATTTTTTGAGTGAAAACATAAAAGTACATTTTCTGGCTAAACTAGAGGCGCTAGGGCAAAAACAAAGAAAATCTGTGATCACTATCATTTACCATCAAAAATCGATTTTTTTGAGTGAAAACATAAAAGTCCATTTTCTGGCTAAACTAGAGGCGCTAGGGCAAAAACAAAGAAAATCTGTGATCACTTTAATTTTCCATCAAAAATCGATTAGAGTGAAAACATAAAAGTCCATTTTCTGGCTAAACTAGAGGCGCTAGGGCAAAAAGAAAGAAAATCTGTGATCACTTTAATTTTCCATCAAAAATCGATTTTTTGAGTGAAAACATAAAAATCCATTTTCTGGCTAAACTAGAGGCGCTAGGGCAAAAACAAAGAAAATCTGTGATCACTTTAATTTTCCACCAAAAATCGATTTTTTGAGTGAAAACATAAAACAAAGAAAATCTGTGATCAATTTAATTTTCCACCAAAAATCGATTTTTTGAGTGAAAACATAAAAGTCCATTTTCTGGCCAAACTAAAGGCGCTAGGGCAAAAACAAAGAAAATCTGTGATCACTATCATTTACCATCAAAATTCGGTTTTTAGGGTGAAACATAAAAGTCCATTTTCAGGCTAAACTAGAGGCGCTAGGGCAAAAACAAAGAAAATCTGTGATCACTTTAATTTTCCACCAAAAATCGATTTTTATAGTGAAAACATTAAAGTCCATTTTCTGACTAAACTAGAGGCGCTAGGGCAAAAACAAAGAAAATCTGTGATCACTTTAATTTTCCATCAAACATCGATTTTTTGAGTGAAAACAAAAGTCCATTTTCTGGCTAAACTAGAGGCGCTACGGCAAAAACAAAGAAAATCTGTGATCACTTTAATTTTCCATCAAAAATCGATTATTTTTTAATGAAAACATAAAAATCCATTTTCTGGCTAAACTAGAGGCGCTAAGGCAAAAACAAAGAAAATCTGTGATCACTTTAATTTTCCATCAAAAATCGATTTTTGAGTGAAAACATAAAAGTCCAATTTCTGGCTAAAGTAGAGGCGCTAGGGCAAAAACAAAGAAAATCTGTGATCACTTTAATTTTCCATCAAAAATCGATTTTTTGAGTGAAAACATAAAAGTCCATTTTCTGGCTAAACTAGAGGCGCTAGGGCAAAAACAAAGAAAATCTGTGATCACTTCGATTTTCCATCAAAAATCGATTTATTTAGTGAAAACATAAAAGTCCATTTTCTGGCTAAACTAGAGGCGCTAGGGCAAAAACAAAGAAAATCTGTGATCACTTCGATTTTCCATCAAAAATCGATTTTTTGAGTGAAAACACAAAAGTCCATTTTCTGACTAAACTAGAGGCGCTAGGGCAAAAACAAAGAAAATCTGTGATCACTAACATTTACCATCAAAAATCGTATTTTTGAGTGAAAACATAAAAGTCCATTTTCTGGCTAAACTAGAGGCGCTAGGGCAAAAACAAAGAAAATCTGTGATCACTATCATTTACCATCAAAATTCGGTTTTTAGGGTGAAACATAAAAGTCCATTTTCAGGCTAAACTAGAGGCGCTAGGGCAAAAACAAAGAAAATCTGTGATCACTAACATTTACCATCAAAAATCGATTTTTAGAGTGAAAACATAAAAGTCCATTTTCTGGCCAAACTAAAGGCGCTAGGGCAAAAACAAAGAAAATGTGTGATCACTTTAATTTTCCACCAAAAATCGATTTTTTGAGTGAAAACACAGAAGTCCATTTTCTGGCAAAACTAGAGGCGCTAGGGCAAAGACAAAGAAAATCTGTGATCACTTCGATTTTCCATCAAAAATCGATTTTTTGAGTGAAAACACAAAAGTCCATTTTCTGACTAAACTAGAGGCGCTAGGGCAAAAACAAAGAAAATCTGTGATCACTAACATTTACCATCAAAAATCGTATTTTTGAGTGAAAACATAAAAGTCCATTTTCTGGCTAAACTAGAGGCGCTAGGGCAAAAACAAAGAAAATCTGTGATCACTTCGATTTTCCACCAAAAATCGATTTATTTAGTGAAAACATAAAAGTCCATTTTCTGGCTAAACTAGAGGCGCTAGGGCAAAAACAAAGAAAATCTGTGATCACTTTAATTTTGCATCAAAAATCGATTTTTTTAATGCAAACATAAAAGTCCATTTTCTGGCTAAACTAGAGGCGCTAGGGCAAAAACAAAGAAAATCTGTGATCACTAACATTTACCATCAAAAATCGTATTTTTGAGTGAAAACATAAAAGTCCATTTTCTGGCTAAACTAGAGGCGCTAGGGCAAAAACAAAGAAAATCTGTGATCACTTCGATTTTCCATCAAAAATCGATTTATTTAGTGAAAACATAAAAGTCCATTTTCTGGCTAAACTAGAGGCGCTAGGGCAAAAACAAAGAAAATCTGTGATCACTAACATTTACCATCAAAAATCGTATTTTTGAGTGAAAACATAAAAGACCATTTTCTGGCTAAACTAGAGGCGCTAGGGCAAAAACAAAGAAAATCTGTGATCACTTCGATTTTTTGAGTGAAAACATAAAAGTCCATTTTCTGGCTAAACTAGAGGCGGTAAGGCAAAAACAAAGAAAATCTGTGATCACTATCATTTACCATCAAAATCGATTTTTTGAGTGAAAACATAAAACTCCATTTTCTGGCTAAACTAGAGGCGATAGGGCAAAAACAAAGAAAATCTGTGATCACTTTAATTTTCCATCAAAATCGATTTTTTGAGTGAAAACATAAAACTCCATTTTCTGGCAAACTAGAGGCGCTAGGGCAAAAACAAAGAAAAACTGTGATCACTATCATTTACCATCAAAAATTAATTTTTTGAGTGAAAACATATAAGTCCATTTTCTGGCTAAACTAGAGGCGCTAAGACAAAAACAAAGAAAATCTGTGATCACTTTAATTTTCCACCAAAAATCGATTTTTTGAGTGAAAACATAAAAGTCCATTTTCTGGCTAAACTAGACAAAAACAAAGAAAATCTGTGATCACTTTAATTTTCCACCAAAAATCGATTTTTTGAGTGAAAACATGAAAGTCCATTTTCTGGCTAAACTAGAGGCGCTAAGGTAAAAACAAAGAAAATCTGTGATCACTTTAATTTTCCACCAAAAATCGATTTTAGAGTGAAAACATAAAAGTCCATTTTCTGGCTAAACTACAGGTGCTAGGGCAAAAACAAAGAAAATCTGTGATCACTTTAATTTTCCACCAAAAATCGATTTTAGAGTGAAAACATAAAAGTCCATTTTCTGGCTAAACTAGAGGCGATAGGGCAAAAACAAAGAAAATCTGTGATCACTTTAATTTCCCACCAAAAATCGATTTTGGAGTGAAAACATAAAA